TGTGCACCACAGTTCTGTGTCACGCTGTATCCTTAATCCTTGCGTGTTCAGTGGCACGCTCTGACTGTCCCTGTGACAGGGAGCTGGTGTTGAGGAGCCATTCACAGGTGCCTTTCATCCAGCCCTCCTCCTATTCCTTGTGTTCCTCAGCAAGGATTTAGCCTGCTTTGTCTGTCCTGAAGTTCATCACCTCCCTGCAGCAGTTCACGGAGAGTCCTGTAGTTTTCAAGTTTGACCTTTGTGCCAGGGTTTTCAGGCACGTGATGGAATATTTGGCCAAACCCTTCCCATCCTTGCCAGGATCCTGCACCTGACAGTGCCATTTCAGCCAGGCACAGGCATCAGGAGTTCCCTGGGAGCTTAACTGTGAGAAAATGAGCTCAGGTGAGCTCAGGTGTTGCAGTTGGAGCTGCGCAAGGGGCGTTTTCAGGCAATAAAGACCTGTTTTGTTTTAAAGGAGTGTTCTTGAAAGAATGGTTGTTTTCTCAGAACCGGATTTTAGGCAATTTTTTAAACCCATGGAAGGATTTCTGCTTCTGGTGCTCCCATCTCCACGGAATCAGAGACTCACCCTCCTGATGGCACCTTGCTTAGCTGAGATGGGAAGGCAAAGACAAATCCCTCCTTAAAAGTTGCCATTAAAACTAATTCGGGAGCGTTTTCAACACGTCGTTTCTTCAGCCACTGCGGAAATGCAAGTTCTGCTTTTGTTTTGCCTTTCCCAGAGTCGATGCCAAGCCATTGATTCAAAGAGAAGCAGCTCCAGCATCTTAACTGCCAGCTGCAGGAATTTCCAAGTCTTGCTGCCCATCCCACTTGCCCAGGTGCTGGATTTTCCATGCCTCGAAGAGGCTGGTTCGGCGCTCGGGAAGAGGAGCTGGGAGTGCCACGAACCCCCATGAAATGGGAGGGATGGGAAAAAATGACACCTGAATACCGAGGAAGGAATGACAAATTACGCCTGACTGTCAGCTGCTGGTGTTTCTTGCTTTAAGCAGCGTGTGAAGTGGTGATGGCAGGGCTCGTTTGAAACAGGGCTATGGTTTTTGCTGCTTTATGATGCAAACTTGTCTGTTTGTAAATCTTGCATTAAGTCATTTTTAAGGCAGGAAAAGCTGCTTTAACGAGGCTGTCTCGGAAGCAACACTTGCTGTGATCTAGTATGACCTGCTGCACGTTACAGGAGGTTGGATTTCACCAGGAATCCCATCCTTGGGTCCGATAGAGTCAAGTGGAGCTGCTGTCTTCTGAGTTGAAGATCTCAACTGGTGGAGCATTGGTGTGTTTTGTAGCAACCAGCCAACCATCCACCTTCAAAGCAGCTTTGCCTTTAATTTGAGCCTACAGGAAAGATGGAAAGGGACTTTTTACAAGGGCATATGGTGTCAGGACAAGGGGGGATGCCTCCACACTGCCAGAAAATAGGGTTAGATTGTATATTAAGAAGAAACTCTCCCTACTGAGGCCCTGGCACAGATTGCCCAGAGAAACTATGGCTGCCCTGTCCCTGGAAGTGTCCAAGACCAGGTTGGATGGGACTTGGAGCAACCTGGTGTAGTGGAAGGTGTTCCTGCCCATGGCAGGGGGTTGGAATGAGATGGGCTTTAAGGTTCCTTCCAATCCAACCCATTCTGTGATTCTGTTTCTCGTGGATGTGGTTTGCCTTCATCTTGAGTTTCTCTCGGTCCCAGCTACCTGTCACAGCAGCTCCCTGGGCTTCAGCACATGCAGGTGTTTCAGTTACCTTTGGTTCTTTCTTTGGCTTAGATACATTCAGATGCACTGGGTTTCCAAGCTGGGTTGTTTCTTATCATCTCTTCAGTCCTTTCCCTCAACCCAGCTTCTCCCTGGGGGATCTCACGGGCCCCCATAGGTGGGAGCAACTTTCTATTGACATTTATAGCCAGGAAAAAGAAACTCTTCCGTGACAAAGAGCAGATCTAGTTGTTTTACTCCTTTGTGGGGCTGTGGCAGAGGGGGATCTCTGGGAGATCCCAATCATCTGGAGCTGCTCTCCTCAGCTGGGCTATTTGCAGAGCACTGTCATGCCTGTAATAATCTGGCTCAAACTGCACAGGCAGGACAAGTGTCTTTACAATCCAGTGGCTTGTGTAGCCATGTTGTGTGTCTGTAATAGTTTGATCTGGTCGTTCTGGTATACCTGGGTCATCCATTGCTCGTTCCATGGGTGCAGAATGGATCCCTGAGGAAGCTGGGAGCGAGCTGGTAGATTTATCTTGATGAGACAGAAACAGTTGATGGTCAGGAAATCATTGCAGAAGGACAAATTCGCTAAGTTTGAACATTAAATCTCATTTTTGAGATTTTTTGAACATTAGATTCTGGATTGGGCACACACAGTTTTTTCCTGTCAAGCTCTTTGACTATGGAGGACTTGGGAAGGTGTTAAAAATCCTCCTGATTTTTGCATACAGCTTCAAGCACTGGCATTCCTGGTTACATCCTTCCTGCTGAGTGTATAATTTGGGGCCAAGCAGATGATGCTTTCTGGACTGCTGTGGTCTCATCTGTTACTACCCCTTGACCACTGGTCCTGGTGAACATTGGGGTTCAAGCCCTCTTTGTCAAGGTTTTTAGCCTTCTGAATTACAGGAGGTGTTTCCCCCATGGTGCTGCCCATGTTGATGCTTTCAGCTGCTTGACTGAAGGTTGTTTTGGAGAGGAGCATTTTCCCTCTCACCTGTGGAATGGTTTGTGCTGCTCTTCCTCTTCTGGACGGGCTTGTGGCCTCGCTCCATTCGTTTGAGAGCAAGGACCAGCAAGGATCTGAGTCTGTGGTCTCCCATGGATTGCACATGTGACCTCTTGAGTACATCTCAGACCTCTTTTGATCCAGGCTGCTACAGTTTTGGGATTTCCATAAAAATCTGGTTTTGTGGGTGATGTAAAGATGCTTGTCCTGATCACAGTGGATGCATGAAACTTCAGGTTTGATTTTAGGAACGAACTTGTTTGCAAAGGCAAGATAACTTTACTCAGGTGTGGCCTTCATCGCTCCAAAGGAAGCATTTGAACAGATTCTGGCAGGACTGGGCTGAACCTTACTCAGGCATCTGATCCATTTAGGCTGGAAAAGGTTCTTTCTCAGCACTTTCGCTTTTCTGTCCCGGAGCCAAATCCTTCAGGAAGTGCCTGTGTGTTCAGGTACATGTGGATACAACTGAGGTCTCGCTCTGTGGTGCAGAGCATGGTTTGCTGTGAGGGCTGGTGTGGCCCCAGTGCTGTGCTGGGGCAGATGTGCAGCCAGCTGTGGGGCTGGAGCCTTTGCAGACAGGGCTGCAGCAGCTGCTGTGGGAGCTCTCAGGGGGCTGTGTGTGTGCAGGGCCCTCATGTTCTGCAGAGGAGCATCCCAGCTTGGTTCCTCGTGCTGGAGATGTGTCGAGGCTGTCAGCTCTGTGACGTGAGAGTTTGAGGTTCTGCTGTTCCCCTTTTATTCTGGATAAACCCCAGGAACGGGGCTTCTTGTAGTGATACCCAGTGTAAACCTTGTGTTCTCCTGCCTTGCACACAGTTTTTAACCTGAAAGCTCTTGAGCTGGAGCTATCGGACTGCTGTCACCAGTTCTGTTTCCTTCTGCTCCCGGGAACTCAGGAATGGAGACTTCCAAGACCTTCCACTGTCCCCTACAACCACTCCGGGCTTCAAAGGCCATTTCTTTTGTCCCAGTGTAGTTTCATCTCGTGTCGCCTGTGAGTATCCTGGCATGATGAGGGAGGGAGCTGTTTGATACTGCTGTTCTTATTTTGGGATATAGAGCTGAGAGCTCCTCTCTCCCATTAAGTAAAAGAGCATCTTCAGAGCTGAGTGTTTTGCTGAGTGGTGCTCAGGGCCATAGGGACCCCTTTAGGCTGCTGTTACTTAATCAGCTTAAAGAGATGATTGTGGACACAGCCACAGGCCACCAAAATACTCTGCAGAGCCTGTAGTGTCTCCCTGAGTAAGAACACAGATCAGGGATCTCGAGTTCCTTGTGTTAGGCCATCTCAGGTTATGTACAAAAAGGTCGCTGTGGTGTGGTTCTCCCTTGTTTTTTTGCTGGAAGGAAGACTGTGATGTCAACCTTCCTAAGTAACTCCCTAAGGCTTCTCTGATCCTCATCCTGCAGTTCCTGCAGAGGTCCAGGTTCTCCGGTGGCTTCACTCGTAGAGATGAGGACTCGTGAGTTAGAAATGGTGAGAAAATCCACGCTGAGCCTTGTGACTGTCTCCTCCTTTGGTTTTCCTAATTGTAAATTAAGTGGGGATAATCTGTCTTCGTGTTGCAGGCAGTGTTGCAGAACAATAAGCAAAAGCCTCGATCTCTTCCAGTCTGGGCAGTCACTGGGCAGTGATCAGGTCTGTTTTCAGTTACTTGTCCTAAATTTCCTGGTTTCTTGTGTATCTGTATCAATCTGTGTGTGTGCACTTTAGGAACCACGGAGCAGGAGTTGAGCTGGACACCAGGAGGAGTAGAGGAGGTGCGTAAGAAAAACCCAGATCCTAGAATGACCTGCTGGGAGAAAGCTTAAGGGCTAAAAAAATCTTCAGGTTTCCCAAAGTCTGAGCAATTATTTAGGTCTTACCAGAGTCTCTGAAGAAGAGAAGGCTGTGGGCTTACATGAAACGAGGCTGACCTGTGGTGTTGGGAGGGAACATCACAAAAACTAGAAGGCACTGCCCGTTGGAGACACTGGGGGGAACCTCTAAGAAAAAGAAGCTATCAGGAATCTCGATTCTCCAGCAAACAAGACCAGGGAGCCACCAGCTGCTTGGCCACAGGCCTTTTGGTGCTTTGGAAAGTCCCGAATTTGAGATTATCTCCCTCAAATTTTAGGTTATCTGCTGGCAGAAACAGAGGTAACACACCCAGGTGAGCATCTAGGCAGTATCCCCAGAAGCACTCTTGACCTGCAGGAGTAATCAGCAGTGACGCTATTGCTCATTTAGTTTTGTCCCCCTTTCTGCTTTACTCCCTTTAGTTATTCCACTAGTCTTCATTGACTTGCTGCTAAATTATTTTCATAGTAAAATAAGCCAGTTTGCAGCCTGACTGAAATAATTAATTACTACTGGGCTACAACCCAGTGTGAGATCCTCCATAGCCCCACTGGTGTTTGAAGCACAGGCTGAAAATAGAGTGTGAAAATAGAGTGGCTGTGGGTGTCGAGTGTTCCCAGAGGGCTTGGCCAGGAGTAGGGATGTTTTGGTGACAGTCTGTGTCGCTTAAAGGCTGCTAATAAATGCAGCTAGAGGCTCTAAATCTGTGTTTAACTCTGGTGGATAAACCAGGGCAGATGCAAGAACTGGGATTTGGGAAATATATTTTTAAGAAAATCTGACTTGGGGTGGATTTTAGAAAGAGGCTGTGAGTAAAACAAGAGTTTACTCTTCTCTGTCGGGCAGTTTGAGATACCACTTGGTGAGATTTGAGCTGAAAGGAGAGAAATTGGAGTGAGGAAACTGAATTTTAACAAGCAAGTGTAGCTGTACCCCCCGCTGAGGGAACCCACTTTGCACCTGGTGGGTGCTGACAGGTTTCAAGGCCAGGTTTTTGTTCCAAGTTGCTGTAGCCAGTTGTTTTCCCCCCAGCTCACAGACAGAAGCTTAAAATGTGCTGGTGTCCATCCAAAGAAGATCTGTCTGTTTATCCTGAGGCAGCAAAGGTAAAATTGTGAAGGGTTCCACCTTAAACCACCATAAACCACTGGTGCCTGTTGCTGCCTGTGTATTTATATGGGTCGTTTTTTATTTTGTGTTAATTTTGTGTGTTTTTGTTTAAAACAGCAGGGTAATACTGACTTGCTGCTTAGCAGTTTTGCTTCTGCTCCCAGGGCTCTGAATCTCAGGAGGAAACTGGTTAGAAATGTACCCCTTTCCTGCTGATGCTGTTAAACCAGCATATGAGGAGCATTAGGTAGGTTCCAGCTTTCTGGAGTCGTAAAAGTTCCTTTTTGGGGAATAAAACGAGTGTTTTTTGTAATGATGTGTCTGTTACAGTCCTCCTCCAGAAAGCAACAGTACTAGCCCTTCCCAAATTATTGCCTCTCTTGAATTCTAGAGGCAGCTTTGCCATTCAGGTTAGAACCCCAACAATCTAATAAATTCAACTTAAAAAAAAAAAGTTAATGTTTTCTAGCACTTTACCAATCCAAAACGCATCAAGTTCCAGCAAACCTGGGGCCTTTCAAAAGTAGAGCAGTGTTAGAATTAAAACCACATCAAGACCTGCGTATTAAGCTTTAGTTTCCTTTACCCCCAGATAGTTGTATGTTGCTCAGGATTAGGGGGAAAAGGTGGCTGGAACTTGTGGAGCAGCTCAACCGCTGGTGTGGGATGTCAAAGGGCTCACCAGAGGTAGAGGAGCCCTTTGCATCTGTGTGGGAGGTTTGGCCCCAGCACTGTTTGAGAGGCTGCTCAGACCATGCCACCTCAGTGCTGTTTCTTACTTAATGCTTGATATGGAAGTCTGGGAATTGGGAGCATTATTGATTTGACCTCTTTTAAATTTCAGCAGCTTCACAAGAGACAGAGTGAGTTAGTAAGGAATGCAAAAATGTGTAAGTAATATATATTTTTCTAGCTGAAAAGCTTAGGCATATCCATTTTGTACCTTGTGTCTTCTTACCAGAGTGAGGAAGGTTGAACTGTCTTTGCTTTGGGGGAAATCTCTCTCTTTTCTATTCTGTCTCCTCCCTGCTTCCCCCTCTCCAAGCTGTGGGCACAACACCAGCTCTGCTTTCTCCTCCTTGTAGTAGGTGTGCATTTTCCTGGCTGGTTGGTGTCTCTGACTGGGGGGCTCTTGGTATTTTGATTTATTTTATTTTTTTCCCTGTGTCCATAGCAGATCTGGGGATTTTTAATTTTTTTTTTTTTTTTATAAAAGTGGGAAAGAGAATAAATCAGCCATGTTAAATCCAAGGAACCTGTAGCTGCTACACAACTTGTCCTCTGTTGTGGTAACATTAATGCCAAGCGGGAACGTCTGGTACAAATGATGCTTCTTGGTGGGTGTAGATTAATTTGGGAGCGTTGCTCGTGAGTGTGGGGCAAATATGACCAGCAGAAATAACCCCCAAGCCCCTAAACTCTGCCTGGCAACCCTGTGACTGTCTGCAGGTGCCTGTGTGGTCATCCAGCCCAGGACCCCCTGGCTTAACCCACTCCTCTGTGTCTCAGACCCTCCGCAGGTGCTACAGCCGCGTGAAGGAGCACGGCGTCGGGAAGAGGAAAAGCAGCTACACGTTTGAGCAGCTGGAGCAGGTGTTTGGGCAGGGAGGATGGGACTCCCAGCCCTGCCAGCCCGTCCTCATCAACAGCAGCGGCTTGTACCAGGAGCTGGAGTCAGATGGCAGCACGATGGAGGAGTATTCCCAGGAGGACTGGGGAAACCACAGTCAGGACCTTCACTGCTACCAGACCGGAGAGCAGGAATTGGGTAAGAAATCCCATCCTGGCACATCTCCAGCCTCGGGTTTTACCTGTGCTCGTGCCTGTCTCACATGTGCTCAGTACCAACTTCCATCTCTCGGGTGTGATGTCCTCAGGGTGCTAAAACACATCCCTGGGGAGAAAAGGGACGGAAATCCCCCAGTCAATCAAAAGTAACATGTGGTTCTTGAAGCATTGTAGAATCAGAACTGGAGTTTGAAGAGCCTGTCAGGAGGAAAGAAGGGCTATGTGGCCAGAAATGATGGAGGAGGTGACACCTTCCCTGTCTCTTCTTCTGCTCTCAGTTTCACTTCCCTTCATGGGAAGTAAAATTCCCTTTCAGTGGTACCTGAGTGTTATCATTCAAACACCATCTGCTTAAATTGTGAGCAGAGCTTCAACCTGCTGCTGGTGACACCAAGAACTATAAAAAAGTGTTGCTTCTTCTCTGTACTCTGCTATATTGAAATTAAACACATAAATACGTTTATATCCAGGTGCGTGGCCTTTTTTAAATACAAAAATAGCAAACAAACTCACAGTCGAGGATTGAGACCTAAACCAAACTCCTCCACGTGCTTTTCTTGCCTGAATTGTTGCTGTCTCTACGTAAGAATCAGTCTGTTAATTAATTTGGATGTTTAGTTGTTGCTTGTGTGTTATGTTAAACAGAGCAAAGTACCACATTCCCAATGGAAAATGCACATCAATCTGAGCAGTTCTTGGAAGAAGTGGCTTTCTTTAGGCATATTTCTCCCTCTTGAGCCACTGCTCTTATGGGGATGTGTTCCTCCCTTGCCTGAGCACAGGAAACTTGACCAAATTCAGTGGAGTTGCAAGTGAAGAAGGTGAATTAGGTAAAGGCTTTTTTCCCCCATTTGTAGGATGAAAGAGGGAGAGGAGATGCAGTCGGGTATCTGTTCACGTCTGTGTTTGGGGGACTGGTGAGTCAGGATGCTTTGAAAGAGCCTTAAATCACGGTTTAACGTTAACATTTTCAAGTTGGCTGTTAACTGCATTCCAGTTCCTCAGACTTCTTCCCTGGGGGATTTAAAAATCAGAAATATGTGGGAGAGAAACAGTGGGGAGAAGAAAAACGTATGTAAATGGCGGCTAATTCTGTCTGGTCTAGCTTGTTTTGGTGAGTCAAAGCGGGATCTCCTGGTTTGTCACCGTTCTCGGGGACGTTTGCGTGCGCCGGGGCTGACGATGCCCTTCGTGCTCAGAAGCTGTGAGCAAAGCACTTGGCACACAGCATCTAAATGGAACACAGATGCAGTTCTGCTGCTGCTTGTCTTCAGCTGTGCCATTGGAAGCAGAGTTGCCTTTTTTCTCTCTTTTTTTCCTATTTTTTTTCCTATTTCTTTAAACAATGCAGTTTGCAATTCGGTCGATTTGTGATTTAACAGCAGGGGTTGGAGCCTTGTCCTTGAAAGGTTTTGCACTTGCAGAGAGAGATTCAGATCTTAACTGACAGTGTCCCTTCCAAGTTAAAGAAAAACCAAATCAATTACAGAGGGTTTAGGAACTGGAACTGTCTCGTGCAGAACTCCAGCAGACTGCCTGGCTTAGGAGGCAACTCTGATTTATTTTTTATTTAATTTCAGCCTCTGGAAAATAACATAAAAAATAAAAAAGGCCCTAAGTATGTGATCTAAAATATAATTATGTGTTGGAATTTTACCTTTCAGATGAAATGCCTACCACAAAAAGAACACTAAAGATAAAACAGGAGTCTTCAGAAGACACGCAGTAAGTAATTTATGAATGTTTTACCCTGGAATGTATTTCCCTGGGGATGTTGTGCAGGAGGGGAGGATATTTGAAACTTCTGATTATAATTATAAATACATTGTGCAAGGCTATTCATACAGTTGAGTCTGCTTTATGCATTATTCCCATTACCTCAGAACAGCTGAAAAGCTTCACAACTCTGTTTCTCCTTGACTTCACCATTCAGCAAATGAAACGAGGCTTACTACATGGATGCAAGGACTTAAACCACGGATACAATCCGCAAGAAAAGCTCCCTTCCTTGGTGGGAAGGCATGCCAAAACTTGGGAGTCTTTCATTTTAGTTTTTATGACTTTCCAGACCTTATTTGTAACCTTTTGGCTGGGTTAGTGCAGCAAACACTGGAGCATTCTGAGTGCTTTGAGCATGTGAATCTCCCTCGCCAACAATAACACGGAGCATTCCCAAAAATGAAAGGAATTGTGCTGGGTTTACTCCATCTAGGACTGCTTTCTGCCAACCTTTAGGGTTGTAAAACCCCCGGGGTGGTTGTGGATCCATCTGTGGGGGGAGTGAGCCACAGCAGCCAGGCTCACAGACCCTTCGGGCTGTGTTCCACATGGGAGCTCCCCCACCAAGGTGGCTTGTAGTGTCATCTGGAGTCAGTCTGGGGTTTTCCATGGTGGAAAACGAGCTCCTGGAGCGTAGGAGGTCACCAGCACTGGGAACAGCAGCAGAGCGCCCCTGGTGAGTCATACACAGAGGCTTTGTACTGTAACTCAGTGAAAAAAAACCCTCATAAACATAAAAAAACCCCAAACCGTTAAAATATGAATTAAAAATAAAATAATTTAAAAAGGAAATAATAAAATAAAAATAATTAACAAAAAGCTTCCATTGTAGTGCCGTAGCTTCATCAAACTTCTCACTTCAGGTGGATTTTCACGTACCCAAAGGTGACTTTTTTCTTCACATGGAGCAAATTCAGTTTAGCAACTCAGGGACAACCTGGAGAAGAGTAACATTTTGCAGTATAAATGTTGTTATTGAACAGTTTCTTGGTGCTGTTATGGAATGCAGCCTTTTGGGAGCTGCATAGCAAAATAATCCTCAATTTTCTGAGGTGAAGGCTTGGACTACCTGAATTTTCTCTTCCAAGTTCTGTACATGGACAGCTGGACTAGGTTTTGATAAATTAGACCTTTCGCAGTTTTATGGTCATTTTTTCCCCCAAATTCCCCCTAAAATACACTGGAGTCTCTGAACTCTGGGACATTTTGTGGCGTGTGACAGTCCTACGTGCTCAGTGGAAGCACAGAGCATCTTCCAACACACAGATTTGCTGAAAGCTGATTTTCTTCTTGTCTGTGAGGGGAAGGAACTTCTAGACTCTGACTTCATAGGTTAAAAGCAGTCAGGAGTAGTAGGGCTGATACAAAGATAAGATGGGTATTTGTTATCTTCAAAAAATAGATTTGCATCTAAAAGTCACAGAAGATTAATAGTTGCCTAACTTTTTACCTCTTTGTGTATGTTTTAAAATGTAGATAACTTAGTTCAAAGTCGGGGCACTTTGGTTCATCTGCAGTCTTGGTCAAGTGCAGATTTTCAGCAGAAATAATCTCCATAAAATTGTTCAAATTATCTGATGAACCTTGTGCTATGCTTTTGGACATGGAGAATCAGAATCCCAGAATGGTTTGGGTTGGAAGGGACCTTAAATCTCATCTCATTCTACCCCCTGCCATGGGCAGGGACACCTTCCACTATCTCAGGTTGCTCCAAGCCCCGTCCAACCTGGCCTTGGACACTTCCAGGGATGGGGCAGTCACAGCTTCTCTGGGCAACCTGTGCCAGGGCCTCACCACCTTCACAGGGAACAATTTCTTCCCAATATCCCATCTATCCCTGCCCTCTAGCAGTGGGAAGGCATTCCACCTTGTCCTGTCCCTCCATCCCTTGTCCCCAGTCCCTCTTCAGCTCTCCTGGAGCCCCTTTAGGCCCTGCAAGGGGCTCTCAGGTCTCCCAGAAACCTTCTCTTCTCTGGGTGAACACTCCCAGCCTGGAGAAGAGAAGGCTCTGGGGAGACCTCAGAGCCCCTTCTGGTGCCTAAAGGGGCTCCAAGAGAGCTGGAGTGGGACTGGGGACAAGGGATGGAGGGACAGGACAAGGAGGAATGGGCAGGGTTAGATGGGATGTTTGGAAGGAATTCTTCCCTGTGAGGGTGGGGAGGCCCTGGCCCAGGTTGCCCAGAGAAGCTGTGGCTGCCCCACCCCTGGGAGCGTCCAAGGCCAGATTGGACAGGGCTTGGAGCAACCTGGGCTAGTGGAAGGTGTCCCTGCCTGTGACAGGGATTTGGAATGAGATGAGCTTTAAGGTCCCTTCCAGCCCAAACTGTTCTGTGAGTCTGTGACTATGAGGAGTTCCCATCTTCCCAGTGTCACCTTATTTTTGGTGGTGTAGGAAGTAAAGGGCAACAGGTATCCCATGTCCACATCCTGTGCTCCATCAAGATGCTCCTTCCCTGCAGTAGCTCTGCTGTTGCCTCCCCTTGGCACACTGCTGCCTCCAAATAAACTGCTTTGAAAAGTGAAAGGCTACTTTGAGACTACTCCTCTGTTTTGAGTTGATTTGAGGAGTAGTTTGATTCACTGCAAGTGCTGGGAGGATGAACTAGGAAAAGCTCGTGGAACTTCACTGAGAGCAACTGTTCTGACCCCTTTGAAGTCTGCTTGGTTTGGAAACAGCGCCTTGGAACAAACTCACACTGGTTCTTGTCTCCAGTCTTTCCTGATTTGAATTGCAGAAGCTTCCAAGGAGGAAGAAATGCAGATCCCAGACTCCAGCAGGGAGGTGGTGGTTTGAGGACAGGGGAAAATCCAGCTCTAGGGCACCTTCTGCAGCTGACAAGTGAGATTGTCCTGAGACACGTGACAGGGTAAACCCTCTGCTCTGCTCCGCTCCCATTTTTATCTTGAAAAGAGAATAATATTAGCAGTATAAATAAGAAAAATACATAAATGCATATTAAATAAATAATTTTAAATAGTTCAACAAATGACAATTAAATTGTAATTAATTATAAATAAAGAAATAAGACTTACTGCTCATGATACCTCTGCTTGGCATGGGGGTCCTGGATAGAGCCTGGGAGTGGGAAGCTCAGCTGAGCTGTCGAGTCCCAGCATAAGGGAGGAGATGCTATAACTGAAAGGCAAAACTCCTTAAAATTCCTCTTTTCTTGTTTTCCTCTGTGCTGGAAGTGGTGAGTTCCCTGTGGAAACCCCTTCTCTGCTGCCAGAGATCCCCTCTCGTGGAAAGGCTCCTGTTCCCCACAGGAGCAGTTGGAGTGACTAATGCACCCAAGCTCCAGCTCTGGATTGTGCCGAGCTAAACTAAGTATATTTATAGTACAATTAATAAAGGTGGGGGCTTTGCTTTCGGTTCCTCGCTCTGTTCCTCCGCTGTTGAATGAAAACCTGCCCACGCCGCACTCTCCTGGCTCTGCCTGGGATGGGAATCCATGTGCAACTGGAGCTCAGCTGCCGGCGGGAGCCGAGCGCGCGTGCCAGCGGTGAGACACGGCACTGGGCTCCGGCACTGCCCTGGGCCCTGGTCTGTCCCGTCCCCCTGTGCACAGAGGGTGAACTTGCACTTCCAAAAGACACTTTTCAAGGGTGGCAAAGCAGCAGGGAAGCTTCAAATCAGCGTTGCCACAGTGTGTGTGTGTAAATGGAAGTGGATTTGGGGTGAGCAAGTGTTCTCCTTGCCTGGGATTTCTCTCTGTTGCTGCCGGGCAGTGGAACTGATTCCTCAGGAATGACTTGCAGTAAGAAACAGGATTTTGGTGGCAATGGAACAGACATTTTTAAGAGCCCCTGGCCCAAACATGGCTCTGCTTGCCCAGCCTGTCCCTCCTCTGTTCTCTAGAAACTCGGTTACACTCCAGTCATGGCAGAGATGCGCTTCCCAAAATGTCTTTTAAGGTCTATCCATGGATTTTCTGGCATGGTTGGTGCTGCAAGATCTTAAGGAACCCCCAGGGCGGAGGGAAGTTTCTGCCCCACAGAAGAAAAGCACTGTTGCCTGGTACAGTTTGTACTCTTGGTGGAGTTTGGGAGGAGAAAATGTCCTCTTGGGAATGTGGTGACTCCCCAGTTCAGGCTTCCAGACGTGGCACAATGAATAAAAGGAAGGAGACTTGCATGGAAGGAGCTTTTACATCCTGTTTGTTGGACCAAGAGAGGTTTCTCCAATAGCAAACGAGTTGCATTATCTTCCTACACCTTTGATCATAGGACAATAACTCCTCAGATTAGGAGTTCTCCCTGCCAGATAATCACACCCTAATGGTCTCGTTCATCCCAGAGGAAACTGCTCCAGCTCACCATGGGTGCACATGGATGCTCTGTCCTGATGTCAACCACTCCATGGAACCTCACTACTGGGAGTGCAAATAGCTCTTTGGGAGCATGGGGATTTTTTTATTGCCTATCCGGAGGAATTCCCCTGTTCAATCCACAGGATCCAGAATGTGTCTGGATGTATCTTCTACTCCAGGGTGTTGATCACTTGAGCCGTGTTTCTATCCCAGCACTGGGACTGAGACCTTTGGAGCAGCTTGATGTTTCCATTGGAGTTTTTACAATTAATAGTCCTGTTTGCTGGCATTACTTTTGGGATAACAATGAGGTGGAAGCCTTTGGAGTGGCAGTTGTAAATTGGGAATGCAGCACACGGACCACATGTCAATAGAAACCCGTGGCTGTATAGAATGACCCAGTAGTTAAGTGTGGCTTTATTCAGCAATGCCAGACACCTGTTTCCTTGGAGTTTCTTTGATACTGGGAGGAGTTTGGGTTGGGTTTGTTTAGATTTTGCCGAGATTAATTAAAAAAATTCCCCAAACCCATCATGGGGTAGTTTCAGTCCATAAACTCCCCCAGCTATATTTATAATAATAATAAAAATCAACTGAGAAAGCCGATGGGGATTAATGTTTTCTGAAGATCTGTGTTTTTGCCAGGATGGTTTTCCAGCTCTGACTCCTTTATCCTTCTCTCCCTCTTCTTTAATTTCCAGGAAGCGTGACGTCATGCAGAACATTATGCAAATCTTGGAGTCGGTCCAGTTGAAGTGGGAGCTGTTTCAGAGCTGGACAGACTTCTCCAGGCTCCATCTTTCTAACAAACTGGCCATTTTTGGCATCGGGTACAACACCCGCTGGAAGGAGGATATCCGTTACCACTACGCAGAGATCAGCTCCCAGGTCCCCCTCGGCAAGCGGCTCCGGGAATATTTCAACTCGGAAAAACCGGAGGGTCGGGTGATCATGACCCGAGTGCAGAAAATGAACTGGAAAAACGTTTACTACAAATTCCTGGAGATCACCATCAGTGAAGCCAGATGCTTGGAGCTGCACATGGAGATCGACTGGATTCCCATCGCTCACTCCAAACCCACCGGGGGGAACGTGGTGCAGTATTTGTTGCCAGGAGGGATCCCCAAGAGCCCTGGCCTGTACGCCATCGGATACGAGGAGTGCCACGAGAAACCCCCCTCCCCGCTGGCCGAGCACCGGGCGCCCGACCCCGGCAATGAGACTCCAGGGGAACTGGAGGTCCCCTCTCCACAAGCCTCCCTCCGGGTGGATATGGAGTCTGCCCGGATTATCTATTGTTACCTTGGCATCGCTGAGGTCCGGACTCTGCAGCAGTGCCTGTTTTTACACTTCCAGGCAAACACCAAAACCTTCAGCAAAGATTGGGTCGGGATCAACGCCTTTTTATCTCAGAACTGCGTCGTAGAGCCCGGCGTCTCGCCCAAATCCATCTACATCAAATTTGTGGAAGTGGAGAGGGATTTTCTGTCTGCCGGCTCTTTGGTAGAGTGCCTGGAAAAAGCCATCGGGTACCCCTTAAAATTTAACAACTGAGTCTCGTCCTTCATAAGGATCAGGGCTTTTCCGCCCCATTTTCCATCTCACTCGGATCCTGTCCGTTCACAGCCGGCGCGTCAGACTTTCCCGCGTGTTGGGATGCGCGGAGGCTCAGGCGGCGCTTCCCACGCGCCGGGCCCGGCTCTCTCCGCGCCCGCCGTTTCCCGCTGGAGCGGCGTGGTGAGGGGGAGCCCCCGGCCCGTGAGACGATGGTCGGTACATTCCACACGGGACGAGCTCGTGCACGTGGCGTTTTCATACGGAAACTGGGGGTTTGGGCTTTCCTTTATTCCACGGTGTCTCATTCGGACGCATCCGTCTCTAAGTGTTATTCTGGATCTGAATCAATAAGCAATAGATAACGGCGAGGGAACCCCCGACGGCCCGGGGACTGTTTTTCAAAGCCACCCTTAGATATCTTGTATATACTTTAGAACTTCACTTTTTTCACCATTGAGTGTTCTCCTCTCTCCGAACAGTGTTGCCTGCAAAGACTTTGGTTTCTGTGATGTATTTCACTTCCTCAGTAGCGTTGCCATATCTACTTTTATTTTATTTTATTTTTTTAACATTAAAATAATTCCTGGCCTTTTTATTTTTCTCTGTATCTTTTTCTCTTTTATTTTTCTCTTTATTTTCCTCCTTATTTTTCTCTTTTTTTATCACTGTCTTCTTATTTAATCCTGTTTTTTCTCATTATTTTTCTTTCTCTATTCATCTTTTTTCTTTTCTCTTTATCTTCTTTCCTTTTTTCTTTTTTATCTGCTTTCCTTTCCTCTTTTTTACCTTCTTTCCTTTTTACTTTTTTAACTTTTTTAATCTTTTTTCCTTTTTTATCTTCTTTTCTTTTTTCCTTTTTTAAATTTTTTTTAAATTTCTTTTTCATTTTGGTGTTTTCTTTTTCTTTTGGTTCTTTTAATTTTGGGGGTTTTTATTATTTTTATTTTCTCTTTTTTTTTAATTCTTTTTTTCTTTCTTCTTGTCTTTCTTTTTTCTTTTTTTCTTTTTTTCTATCTTTTTTCCTTTCCATTTTTCTTTCTCTTTTTCTTTCCTTTTTTCTTTCTCTTTTTCTTTCTTTTTTCCTTTCCTTTTTTTCTTTCTCCTTTTTTTTTTCCTTTCTTTTTTTCTTTCTTTTTCTCCTTTTGGCTCCCCTTTTTTTTTTTCCCTTACGGGTTTCCATAACTCTCTGTGAGAATAACCTGGCAGCTGGGAAAACATGATGGTTATTTTTATTACTTGTTTTATTGTTGACCCATTGCTTATGGATACAATCAAAGCTGTGAGAAGGGGAAGGTGGGGAGGGGGACGGGGTGGGAGGGGGTGGGGGAGGACGCATTTATGCCTTTGCAGCGTGTTCCTGGTCCAGCCCCGCGCTGGGACCGGTGGGTTTTATTTCCTGGAGCTCATCCATCGGTGACGTTGTGACATACGATGAATGTGTCGGTCCTAATAAAATCAAGCAAACACTTATGGGCTTCCACACATCCTTCTCCTCCTCCGAGGGGGAATTCAGGGAGGTGCCGAGCTCTTCCCTGTGGATATTCCCATGAGGGCTTCGTTCCCGGGGTCGTTACTGCAGGAGGTGTTTATTTATTTTAGGGGGGTGAGTGCTGCCAGAGCCAGTTCCTTTCCCTGCAGAGATGCTTGAAATCCTTGAAAAAGTGAGGATCACTGCCTGGCTTGAAGCCAACGGTCGGATGTGGTTGAGCCCTGAGATGGAGTGAGGAAGGAGAGGATGTTACCCACCCTCCCAGTCCTCAATACAGAGGGAATCGCCCCCACACAGGGTGAGTTGCCCCAAAGAGCCGCTGCCAAGTTGGAAGCGTTGGACAGAGCACAAGGTGAGAATGTCAGCAAGGAGAGGTTGGTTCTCAGTGGGATCAAGTCAGGTCGATCCCCCAAAGCCTCCTCGCTCCCCAGATCCCACAATCCTGGCGGCCAGGCTGGATTTACGGGGGGAGGAGAGGGTGAGAAGGGATTAATTCTGCCCCCACCGCCGCCTCCTCCTCCGCTGGTGTCTAATCTCCGCTGGGGCTTCGAGGTCTGACCCTGCTCAGATTGAGGACCAGGATAACCCTGGCTGAGCCAGGGAGGATCCACCCTGGGGCTCCTGAAAACTAGGGAGTCAAAATTGCTGTTTTTCTGGTGTTTTATTTATTTTTCAGGATCAATATGTTTATCCAAAGGGTGGTGGCAGGATGAGGGTGAGGGATGCAGGATGGAATGCTCCGCCCTGCCAGTGTGGGAGTGATAGGATTGGGGGAGGCTTGGGGGTCCCTGTGCCCCTCCGGGTGGTGGGGTGTAACATTGGGGTGTCATGTTGCACCACGCCCCCTTTAACCCTAATATAATTAATAATAACCCATAGAATTAATTAATAGCGGCAAAGACGGTGGAGATGGGGTTGGACCCAGGGGAAGGGTGGGCTGGGGGCAGCGGTGGGGGGATTGTCACTGTCTGGGATGGGACACCCCCATGGGGTGGGTTGGGGATACACCCCGCCCTCTCGGCCAGGCACCTCCCCCACCTGCGGGCCCCGCCCCGCGGCCCTTCCCGGTCCCCCCCGGTCCCTCCCGATCCCCCCCCGGCACCTGCTGCGGCGGCGGCTCCGGCCATGGGCGCTCTGCGGCGGGCGGCGCTGGCGCTGGCGGCGCTGCTGGGTGAGCCCCGCGGGCACCGGGGGGCACCGGGCGGGACACGGCGGGGGCCGGGAGGGGCTTCCCGACAAGATGCGGGAGAAGCGGGGGACGCCGGGCAGGACGCGGGAGAGCTTTAGGGGCGCACCGGGCAGGACGCGGGGGTAGCGGGGATGCACCGGCCAAGACGCGGCACCCGGAGCGCAGCGGGAGGAGCCGGGGGGTGCCGGGGCTGCGCTCGGCGAGACGCGGGAGAAGCGGTGGCACCGCGCAGGACGCGGGGAAGCGCGGCAGGTACGGGGCAGGACCCGGTGGTACCGCCGGGGAGCACCCAGCAGGAGACAGGAGACGCGGGATGCACAGGGAAGGACAAGGGAGAGCTTTTGCGGGGTCACCGGGCAGGACCCGGGCGTACCGCGGGGGTCACCGGGGCAGGGCGTGGAGCAGCCGGGGGCATCCAGCAAGACGCACGGGAGCCCGGGACCACCGGATAGGACCCTGGAAAGCTTGAGAGTGGCATCGGACAGGACCTGGGGGTACTGCGGGGGAGTCACAGCACCCACCTATCCCTGTCAGTGACCCCACTCCCCTCACCCCAGCAGGCAGGTTGGCAGGTGGGGGACCCAATCTAGGGGTGTCCCGAGCGGGGAAAATCTGGGCCCCCCCCGGAAAAGCAACTTTTTACCTTGAAGCTGCCAAGTGGCACTTTCCAGCACCCCCAAACCCAAAGCCATGCAGGGACACCCCGGGGACTCCAATGTGTCGGAGCCGATAATTCCCCTGTGGCGTCGAGCTGGGAAAAATCCATTTGGTTTCCTTTTCCCTTGTTTACTGGTGCTCCACAGCCACCCCAGCTGGTTTTGAGGTGAGGGGTCTCAACCCTTCTCTGTTCACGGGGTTTTCCCTCCTTCCCCTCATTATTTTTCCCCCCCTATTTGCGTTTTTTTTTTTGAAACGCCACAGTTGCTCCAAAGGGAAATATCCTTTGGCATTCCCAACCAAGAGGCCTTTGGGGAAAGGAAACGGCCCCAAAAACAATGGCAGCAGCATTTCCTCCCAGCGGGATGCTGGGTGGGGGTCTTGGAGCCGCCACTTGTTCCTCCTTGCAGGTTTTTTCCCTGATAAAAATTAATTGAAAGGTGTTGGGACGAGGTGTGGGGGTCTCTTAGTCCTTAAATCCCACCAGGGTGTTCCTTTGCCACATCCCAAAGGGGTTTTTTGCATGGAGTCGTGATGGATTACACCAAAACAAGTCATGGCCAAGCCCTGGGATGCAACCTTGTGGGTATCTAGAGAGCAAAAATGCTGCAAAAAGTCACTTTTAAACCCAAAATGTGTGGGATTCTTTTAAATTCACTTTCAAACAATCCATCCTCGTCCTGTGGGATCTGCACAGGATCATGGTAGGGAAAAGCAAAATTAGGGGTGATGTTTGGCATTCCTGTCCTCATCCCAATCCCATCCAATCCTATCCCCAATTCCATTCCCAATCCCTTTCCCTTTCCAATCCCATCCCCAATTCCATACCCAGTCCTATCCCAAATCTCTTTCCCTATCCTATTCCACCCTCGATCCCATCCCCAATCCCTTTCCCTAACCCATTCCATCCCCAATCCCACCCCAGTCTCATCCCCGACCCATGCCAATCGCACCCCTATCCTATTCCTAATCCTATTCCATTCCCATTCCCATCCCATCCCCGCCTCCCTCTCCCACAACAGGGGTTGAAGTGCGTTTCCATCTATAGCAAAGTCACGTATGATTATTGTTTTATTTAATTTTTTTTCCCCAAATTTGGTCTCTCCGGAGGATACAGCTCCTCCTGCCACCCCCCCACCCCCGGGGTCGTGAGAAATGCCGCTGTGGATTTTCCCAACGGACACTGCTCCACAGCCAGGCATCTCCTATCTGCCCGTTTATAAATAGTTGGAGTTAAGGGAAGAAAAGGAAAAAAAATTCCCCAAAAATAATTGAGAAAAAAACAAAAAGGAAGGCGAGTGGCTGCATCGCAGGGCCGAGATGCTCCTTGACCTTTTTCCAAGCTTTTTTAGGGGTCCTTTTTCCGGCCAGATTCCCGCTGTGTATTTTAAATCCCGAGCTTGGTCTTTTGGGATTTAATTTGGGTCTGGGTTTCACATGACTCCAGCGCCTTAATCCTATCAACTGGGGTCATCAAACCCCAACCGCCTCCGGGGTTTAATTCCCTGTACAGTTAACGGCTCAGAGGCTTGGGGGGGCTGGGGGTGTTGCTTTTTTGAGGGGTTCAGGCTGCACTGTGAACTGGGAAACAACTTTTTTGGGGTGAAATGATGCGATTTTGGATGAGAACGGGGTGGTTGATATCAGCACGGGGATTAATATTGAGGTTGCAGGGATTTAAAGGTGATTTATTTTTTTTTTTTTTTTCCCCATAGGGAAAAAATTCAAAGGGAAATTTAAAGCGTGGGTTTTTTTCCTTTTAATAGGGAAAAATACTTCAAATGTTTGCAGTGATAACTTTAAAAATATTTATTCCATGGGTAAAAAAAAAAAAAACAAAAAAACAATCGAGTAAAGGTATTTTTAAAGGTAAATTTAAATTCATTTGGGTTTTCCATATGGAAAAAAAAATCCCAGCAGATGGGCTGGAGCGGAGGGAAGGCAGCCGGGCAGGTGTTTAGCTCAGGGCAGCTGGATAAAAATCCAGGTTTTTGAGCCCAGAGAGCAGGCAGGAGGTGCCCGGGCCCCCCCAAACACGTATGAGCGCCGCGAGCCGCTTAATTTTTTCGATCTGGTTAAAGCATTAGAGGATTTGGAGTGTCGAGGTGGCCAAAGCTGGGGCTATGCCAGAGGGTTCAGTCCCGTGCCTGCAGCTCCAGCCCCGGCTCTCCCGGCCCTCTTTGGAGTCACGTCTGTCTGGGCCGAGGAATTTGGGGTGAATGCGGCACAAAAAAAGACGGTCTGGGGGAGCGAGTGGCCTTCGGATCCAGCTCCACCCGCCCCTCCCCGAGTCACTGGAGGATCCTCAGTGCCCCTTGGCCCAGCATAGGGGCCAAAACTGCTCCTGATGCAGGGAGTGGGATGAAAAGCCTGGATTTTCCCAGGTGTTGGGGATGTACAGGAGTTTAGGAGTCATTTATCGATGGCATCTGCATAATTAATGAATTTCTTTATTAATATTATCATCATCATAATCACCTCTATTATCACTATTTTATTATCATTATTATAATTATAATAACTATTACTTAACAGCTATTATAAAAGAAATAAATACTATAATTATAACTATTATAACTAATATAATATAAAACTATAACTATTAGAACTATTTTTATTAAACTACAACCAAATTCATAATTATTCCACAAGGTGTGTATAACCTATCATCTCTTTTCCAATAGAAATCATGATATAATTGTTGGATATCATCTATTTTCTTCTGGATTGTCCCAGTTTAACAAAATTTAATCTCTAATAATGGACAGGCCAGGCTGAAAACACCTGGATTTTCCCAGCTGTTGGGAATGCAGGCAGGTTTAGAGGCTGTGGCATCATTTAGTGATTCCACCTGCATAATTAACGAACTATGTAACTGTTCATAATTATTAATAGAATTATTATTTTATCATTATTATCACTGTTATAATTATTATTATGATTTATAATTGTTGTAATCACTGTTATAATTATTATAATCACTATTGCAATTACTATTATCATTATAATTATCACTATTATCATTAATAATATCACTTTTATCGTTATTATAACCTTTCTAATTATTATTCTCACTTTGATCATTACTCTCATTATTCTGAGCACCATTATAACTCTCACATCACCACTATTATCCCTATTCTCACTAAAATCTACCTATATTTATAATTGCTATAAATTATATGTTCTCAATGATCTATTTTATTCTGGAAATTCCAATTTAATGAGTCGCCATCCCGTATTTCCTTCCACACTCTCTAAATTTAATACCATTATCTGTGTAGTTACATATTAATACACTATAATTAACATTATTTTTCCATGCTGTCTATTGGATTCGATACCACAGCTTGATGTAATTAATAATACTAATAATATATTGATGATTTGGGACCCGCAGGTGCCTCTGGGATCCCCCCCACCCCCTCCAGGACTTAAGGGTTTATGTTCTTAGCCCGGGTTGAGCTATTTTTACGCATCCTCGCCAGACCAGGCCTGATTTCTCCCGGTTTTTCACCAGAGAAAGGGAAATTTAATTTTTTTTTTTTTTTTTTAATTCCTGAGAAGACTTATCAGCCGGAGCAGAGTTTCCTGCCCGGAGCTGGAAGGCTCCGTCAGGAAACGGCGCCGATGCCTTGCCGGGAGTGGGGGATGAACGGATGCGGGAGGAGGCTAAAAATACCCCACAGTGCCTTGTTTTCCTCTTCCCACCCTGGAAAAATCCAATTACAACCTCTGAGCTCTCAGGGAAAAGTGCGAGGCCGTCTGCGGAGGCTCCCGAAATCCTTCCAGCACAGGGGTTTTCCCTCCAAAGCCAGGATTTGGGATGATGGGGTAGCATCATCCTTTCCGCCCTGCGTCCCAATCCAGAGTGTCCCCGGGGCTCTGGCAGGAGCGGGGCCAGCCGGGGACACAGATCGATGGGCGGGATGCAGGGATGGAGCCGCCGGGATGCGGGGCCTCGATGTTCCCCCGGGAAAAACAAACCAGCCCCGGCACAAACTCGGCCTCCCTGAGCCGATTAATTTTCTGGCTGAGCCTCCCAAGCAAAGCTGGGGAATAATCTCAAGCATCTCTCTCTGGTCCGTGGTACCCACTGATATCCCATCACCTCCACCCAGTGGAGCTTGGGGGATGCTGGGGTGCAGGGGACACAGGGATGGGGGGATTGGGATGGGATATTTGGGATAGAATGGGATGGGGGTGAGGGGAGGCCACCCATGAACTATCCCAGTTTAGCATTGGCAGCAAAAAGGAGGGTGCTGGGGAAGGCTCGTGGAGTGCATATGCCCCCCCCCCCCCAAATAAATCCCATGGGATCTGGTGCAGCATCGTGGGAGGGTTGGGGATACCCCAGTACTGAGGTAAAGGGGGTGTCTGGCTGCTGGAGGAGGGGGGATTTGTGCCGGAGATTTTCCCTTCCTGGGCGGCAGGGGAAGCGGGATGGGAGGGAACAGCATTGTCCTGCATCCTCTGGAGCAACCGGAAAGCCCTTCCCATGCCGGGGAAGGAGGCAAAACGTCCTCCTGGCCCAGCTTCCTGGTGATAACCTGAGACTGTCGGGTTTCCCGTTGGGAGTGAGGAGGCTTTCCCACAGTCGGTGAGGTTCTATGGAGAAGTGGCACCTGGGGTTGAGTCACATCCCGGTTTCTTCCCTCTCCCACGGGCAGGTGTCTCCTCAGCCGTGCTGGAGGTGCACGTGGGGACGGGCTCGGTGTTTGCCGTGGAGGGGCAGCAGGCGGTGCTGCCTGTCTGGTACACCAGCCACTCCCAGAAGAAACCCTACATCACCTGGCTGCTGGACAAGGAGAATACTGGACCCTTCCAGGTGAGAGGGGCGAGGGGCTGGGGGGTGGGGATAGAGGGGGACAAGCTGGGAGGTGGCTGTGGGGGGGGTCCTCGTGGTGTTCGTGATACGGTGGTGCCCATGATGGGGGAATGCTCATGGTGCCCACCATGGAGTGGTGGTCGCAGTGCCCACGCTAGGAGGATGCCTGTGATGGGGAGGTGACTGTGATGGGGGAATGCTCGTGGTGCCCACCATGGGATGGTGCCCACGATGGAGGGAACTTCATGGTGCCCACGATGGGGAGATGCCCACAGTGAGGGGATGCTCATGGGGGGGGGGTTGTGTGGTTCCCACAGTGATGCCCATGGTGAGGAGTTCATGTTGCCCATGATGAAGCAGGGGCCATGATGGGGTGAAACTCACAGGGCCCCCCATGGGGCAGTGCCCTTGATGGGGTGTGCTCATGATGATGTTTAGATGCCCACAATGAGGTCATGGCCACAGTGCCTGCAGCAGGGAGGTGCTTGTGGTGTCCACAGCAGGAAATACCGTCTGGGGGAGATGACCATGGTCCTCATGACCTCATGAGATGCCCAGGATAGGGAGGGGATCACTGGGCCCATGAAGGGAGATGCCTACACTGGAGGCATGACCAGGATACCTGCAACAGGGAGGTGCTTGTCATGCCCGTGATGGGAAGATGCCTTTGGAGGATGTTCATAGTGCCCACAACAATGGGGAAATGACCACAATGGGGGGGATACTTGTGGTGCCCACGAGGGGGAGGTGCCCATGATGGGGGGGATGGTTTTGGTGCCCATGGTGGGGAGATGTTCCCATGTTCCACAAGTTCCCATGTTCAGGATGCTCAGAGCAGGTGAGGCTGGAGGGGGTTCCTGCAGCAGCTGCTACTCCACAGAATTTGGGATTTGTGGGACTTTTCTCTGCTTCTTCGCCTTCTACGGAGGCCAAGGGGACCAAGGGGGTGTTCTACCCCGTGCAGATCCTGACGTACCTGGACGGCGTGGTGAAGGTGGAGGAGACAGAGCTGAAGCCCCGCGTGGGGTTCCTGTACTCAGTCCTCACCCACAACGTCTCAGTGTTCATCAACGCCACCCGGGAGCGCGACTCGGGGCAGTACATCTGCACCGTCAACGTCGTGGATGACGCCACCCCCATGGGCAGGAACGTCGGGGTCATCAACCTCACCGTCCTGGGTAAGGCTCCGCCGGACGCCGCGGCTCCCCGGGGCCTCCCCGTGGCGTCCCCCGGGACTAACGCGTGTGCCCGCAGTGCCGCCGGCCGTCCCCGCCTGCCAACTGCACGGCAACCCCACCGTGGGCGCCAACGTGACCTTGAGCTGCTCCTCCAGGAAGGGGAAGCCCTCGCCCACGTACCAGTGGGAGCGCACGGACCCCACCCCGCAGGTCTTCTTCCCCCCCGCCCAGGGTAAGGTGGCACCTGAGGAGGGGACCGGGGGAGCGGATGGGCTGGAATATCCCCTGAAGCTTCGGCTGGGGGGGATTCTTTGGCTTCATCCCTTCAACCCTGCCCACTCCCTACACGAGGAGCAGGGGGTGATGGGGGGACTGTGGGGCAGAACCCTAATTTTCTGCCCGCAGACCTGACCAGGGGCACCCTCAGGCTGACCAACCTCTCCCTGGAAATGTCGGGTCTCTACGTCTGCACAGCCAAAAACTGGGCGGGTTTTGAGAAGTGCAGCATTGTCCTGGAGGTGCAGTCAAGTGAGTACGTGTCCGCAGGGTCGGGGAGAGGGGGACACGGTCCCCACGAGGTCCCCGTGGGGTTCCTGCGTGATTAAGGTAGCTCTCTGTGTCTCTGGCAGCGAGCACCAAAGCAGTCATCGCCGGCGCCGTGCTGGGCTCCCTGGGCGCCCTCGCCACCATCATCTTCTTTGCCCAGCGGGTTGTTGGCTACAGGAGGAAGAAACGTGACAGCCAGGAGGAGGGAGCCAACGAGATCAAGTGAGGCTCCTCTCGTGTGGGAGGTTCCAATCGCCCTCGCTGGGTTTCAGCGTTGATGGGGGAGGAGGAGGTTTCCACCTCGGGCCGGTCTTTTCTAAATTTCAGAATCAACAGTGGGGAGGGAGTTATTGGTCCCTGGCCGGTCATCATTAGGTTTCAGAGCTAACGAGGGCATTTTCCACCTCTGTTTTCCCCCCATTCCCTTTTGTACCCCCGTTTGGGGGTCCAGGAACTCTACTCAACCCGGGGGGCCCCGTTGCTCGGGGAAGGGATGCCAGGGCCGGGAATGCCGGCGTTCCCGGTGCCAATCTCTCTGACAGTCTCCCCTTTCGGCAGGGAGGACGCCGTGGCGCCCAAAACCCCGTCGTGGCCGAGGAGCCCTGCTTCGGACACCATCTCCAAAACCAGCACGCTGTCCTCCATTGCCGGCCCCCGGGACAAACCCTACGCAGCCAGACCCCCCTCTGACACCACCTCTATCCTCACGGCCACCGGCAGCTACCGGGGACCCCCGCACCGGGGAGGGGGCCGCCCCCCCAACCCCCCACCCCCGCCATTAACGGGACCTCCCGGCGCCACCAGGACCCGGCCGCCCCCCCGGGGCCGTTGCCCCCCTCCAGCCTGGCCCGGGCGGGCGCCGTCCCGGTGATGGTGCCGGCGCAGAGCCGGGCCGGCTCCTTGGTGTGAGCACCTCCCCTCGAAAAAACAGGGGTGCCCAGAGCCAGCCCACCGCCCCCCCAACCCCACCCCCCGTTTTCTGGGGTGATTCTGTCCCTTTTCGGGTTCCTTTTCTTTTTAACAGATGCCTCGAGCAGCTGGACTTGTCATGGGGGTGTTTAATGGGTGCAGGGGCTCCCTGGGTTTGGGGGGCTGAGTCTCCCCATAAATATCACCCCCCAAACCAGCCCCAGCCCTGCCCCGGCAAGGGGGGGAGGGACCCTTCTTATTTTTTTTATATATCTATATATCAGTTGAAAGGAGGATTTTTCATAAAAGAGCATTAAAAGTGGGGGGCGGGGGGCGATGGGCGGTGGGGGGGGACACACACACTTTTTTTAGGGGTTTTCTGATTAAAAGCTGCTGCGCTGCCCAGCGCCAGAGCTTTGGGTGAGTTTGTGGGGATTTCGGGTTTTGGGGGAGGTCCCACAGCCTTCTGGGTGATGTCACAGGGCAGGGTGACGTCACAGCACCGGCCAAGGTCCTTGGGGTGAGGTGACACCGTGGTGCACGTGTGTTTTCACACCCTGTGACCTGTCACCGTGATGTCACCACAGCTGTGTGACATCACAGCTTCCAGTCAGGCCTGTTTGATGCCATACAGACATGTCACATGTCCATCAGCGATGGACAGGCCTGAGTGATGTCACACCGATCATCAGACAGCCAGCAGTGACGTGACACACCCCTGTAGAGTGTCACACATCCCACAGTGACATCACACACACCTCTATGGTGTCACACATCCCACAGTGATGTCACACACACTTCTATGGTGTCACACATCCCACAGTGACATCACTCACCCCTGTATGGTGTCACACATCCCACAGTGACATCACACACACCTCTATGGTGTCACACATCCCACAGTGATGTCACACACACTTCTATGGTGTCACACATCCCACAGTGACATCACTCACCCCTGTATGGTGTCACACATCTGGCAGTGACATCACCACCCACCTTGGGGCGGGAGCACCCCACGAGTCTTCTCCCACCCCCCAGTGATGTCACACCACAGCCGTGCAGCTGTGTGATGTCACACGTGCCGTCACACGCCTGGCAGTGATGTTACACGTGCCCGCACGATGTCACACACGCACCTGTGACATCACTGCTGGGCACCACCCGGCCCGTGCCCCTCCCAGCTGTGCCCGCGGTGACCTCACCCCTCTGCCGGGGACATTGAGCGGATCACGGACAGCCCGGGGCTCTGGCAGGGGCGTTTATTGGGCTGGGGGGTCTCCGGGTGGGGCGGGGCAGCCGGGGTGGGGGCAGGGCCCGGCTGCTGCGGGGCTCCGGGGTCGCATGCGGGGGCGATGGGGCAAAGCGGGGCTCCTGGGCCTCGGCGGGTGGCGGCGGGGGGCTGGTGGCCAGGGGGTCCGGGGAGCGGCTGGTGGCCCCTGCAATAAGGAGAGAGCAGTCAGCCTGGGCCTGGCCCTGCCTGCACCCTGAGCCCTGCCTGCATCCTGTGCCCTGCCTGCACCCTGCCTGTACCCTACACCCTGAGCCCTGCCTGCACCCTGAGCCCTGCCTGCACCCTGCCTGTACCCTACACCCTGCCTGCTCTCGGCCGGTGCCTTGCCTGCACCTTGCCCACACCCTCCCTGCACCCTGTGCCCTGCACCTGCACCCTGCCTGCACCCTGAGCCCTGAGCCCTGCCTGCACTCTGCCCACGCTCCGCTCCTGCAGCCTGTACCCTCTCTGTGCCCTCCCCCTGCCCACACCCTCTCCATGCCCTACTTGCAGCCCACCCACACCCTGCCTGCACTCTTGTCCTGCCTCCACTGCTGCCTGCACCCTGCCCTCACCCAGCCTGGGAGCATGGGGGCACCCCCAGCACACACTTCCCTGGGCAGAGCACCCCGGCAGAGGGGGGAGAGCCTGTCCCCCCTGCTGCCAGCCTGCTCAGCCCCCTAACAAGGCAGCCCTGAGGAACCTCCGGGCCCTAAGGACCTGCACAGCACCTGCACTTGGCAGCTGCTTCCCAACTGCAGCCCCAGGGCATCTTCACTGCACCCCCAGGACATCCTCACTGAATCCTCACTGCAGTCCCATTGAATTCCCACTGCATCCTCAGTTCATTCCCATCACACTCTCGCTGAATCCCTGTTGCATCCTCAGTTCTTTCCCACTGCATTCCCACCACATCCCCATTGCTTCCACACTGCATTCCCACCACATCCCCATTGCTTCCACACTGCATTCCCACTGCATTCCCACCACATCCCCATTGCTTCCCCATCACATGCCTGCTGAGTCCTCACTGTGTTTCCCCTATCCCCACTGGATCTTCACTAAATCCCCCCTGCATCCTCAGTTTGTTCCCACCACAGCCCCACTGAATTCCCACTCATCAGCACATCCCACTGCATCTCACTGAATCTCCAGCGAGTTCCCACTGCATCCTCACTGCATCCCCATTGCCACTGCACTACATCCCAGTTCAGTTCCCATAGCATCTTCAGTTTATCCCCTCTGCATCCAAATTCCATCCCCACTCCATCCTCAGTTCATCCCCATTGCATCCCAGCTGCATTCCAGTTGCATCCCCACTCCATCCTCAGTTCATCCCCATTGCATCCCAGCTGCATTCCAGTTGCATCCCCACTACAGCCTCAGTTCATTCCCATTGCTGCCCCGTTGCATCCTTGTCGAATCCCCACTATTTCCCCACTGCATCCTCAGTTCCTTCACCACATCACCACTGCATCCCCCTCGCATCCCCACTTCATCCTCACTGCATCCCAGTCCCATCCCAGCTCTGCATCCCCCCCAGCCCCGCCGCACACACGTGGCCCAGCCAGCATCACGCCCTCCCCGCCGCTAACCCCAAACCAGCGTTCCCGCATCCGGGGCCATTCCGCGCTCCCGGTGCCGGCTCTGCACAGGGCACGGCCAGGGCACGGAGCAGCCGCCCCCCGGGCTCCGATGCCACGCGGCCTCGGCACCGTGGGCGCTTTTTAAATTTACCTTTTCCTGCCAGGAGACTGTGACACAGGCTTTTAAAAATAGCATGTGCTGAGGCGAGGCGCTCGGGGTGGTGTTGCTAAGGGAGAGATTCAATCCAAATCTAGGGCTGCGCCTTCCCATCCTACTTCCCAGCCTTCCCAACTACTACGGCGCGCGCCCAAAAATTAGGGCAAGGCAGGGGCTGCCTGCCCGCGTGCTTCCATCTCCTGGGAGGAAAAACCCCTTCTTCATCCCAAATCAGCATGGGGAAGGATGCTCCATCCCAAATCTGAGCAGGGAAGGATGCTCCATCCCAAATCAACACAGGAAAGGATGCTCAGAGCAGCATCCTGGGACAAGGGGCCCGGTTTTGGGGGGAGGAGGCGGGTTTGGGGTATACCTAGTCGCCGTTGCGGAGGTCGCCGCCGCGGGTGCTGTTGGCGCACTCGGCGTCCTTGGTTTTCCGATCGATTTCGCCCCCTTTGATCTTCTTGCGGGTCATATGGCCACGGAAACTAGCCTGGATCTTGGCGGCCGCCGCGTTGGCATCGGGATCGTCCAAAGGGATGTCCAGGATGTCCTCGTCCAGCTTCGTGCAGGCTCCCTCCTGGCGGTGGCAAGGCGAGGGTTACAGCTGGTGGGACCTCTAACGGGGCACCCCCCTCCCCAAAGGGATCCATTCCAGAAGGTCCTCAATTAGCCCCTGTGCTAAAAATTGGGGGGGGGTGTTTTCCTAAAAATTAGGTCTATTTGTTAAAAATGGGGGTCCCTTTGCTAAAAACGAGGGGGTTTGCTAAAAATCGGGGTCCCTTGCAGGAGCCTTGCGGGATTTGCAACCGAAGGTGCAGCAGGGGAATTTGCTTCACCCCCCGCCCATCCCTAAATCCCACCCTGGGCCACCCAGCTGCAAGAAGCCAGAGCCCAGCTGGGTGAATCCTGATTCCTGAGGGTTGTGACACGGGGAGAGGAGCATCCATTGCAGCAGAGGATGGGTCCTGGGGGGAGTTTTTGCAGGGTGAGGGGGCCACACTACACAAGCCAAGCCGGTCGTGCCTCAGTTCCCCCTTCCCTCGCAACCTGTGGCATCTTCCCACATCCTTCCTCGGGGCTTTGGTTGAAAACACCGGGAAATTTGGGAAGGGAGCGATGCTGGAGGGGACGAAAAGCTCCCTCAAGGATAAATCACTACAGCCAGTCCCCTCCTGCCACATCCCACCGGAGCAGTTGGACTCAGCATGGAGATCAAAGGGGAAAAAAAAAAACACGGGAAAAAGAAATGAGATGGAAATGAGACAACGGTGGATGCAGGGGAGGGAGTGAAGCTTTTGTGTCTCCTCAGAGGGGCTCAACAGTACTTAAAGGAGTTTTTTTTTGGGGGGGGGGTGTATTTGGAAGCTGTAGATTTTGGGAGGGGGGATGATGTTCATCCTGCCAGAGAGTGGCCACAGCTCCACGAAGTTGCTCAGGTTGTTTTACCATTGCCAAAGGTGAGGGGAGCAAAGGAGCAGCAGCTCGAGTGACGGCTCCAAGGTGGAAGTGATATGTCCAGGGTGGAAATGTTATAGCCAGAGGAGAAATCCTATAGCCAGGGGAGAAATCCTATAGCCAGGGAAGGGAAATCCTATATCTAAGAAAGAAATCTTCTATTCATGAGAGAAATCCTATATACAGGGGGGAGGAGGGGGAACCTATATCAAGGGGAGAAATCCTATATCCAGGGGAGAAATCCTATATCTAGAGGGAGGAAATCCTATATCCAGGGAAGAAATCCTATATACAGGTGGGAGAAACCTATATCCAGGGAAGAAATACTATATACGGGGGAGGGAATCCTACAGTCAGGGGAGAAAACCTATATAGAGCGAAAAATATCCTATATCCATGGGAGAAATCCTATATCCAAGGGTGAGATCCTATATTCAGAGAGAGGAAATGCAGCATGCATGGGAGAAATACCATAAACAGATGGAGGAAATCTATATATGCAGGGACATTTCTTATACCCAGGGGAGAGATCCCATATTCAGGGGAGAGATCCTACATACAGGTGGTGAAAACCTATATCCAGGTTGAGAAATCCTATATATAGGTGGAAGAGATATATATTCAGGAGAAACAACAGCCATATCCAAGGGAGACATCCTATATTCAGGGGAGTAAAAAAAACATATCCAGGGGGACATATCCTAAATCCACAGGAGAAATCCTATGTCTAGTTAAAGGAATCTTTTATATAGGTGGGAGAACTCTATATCCAGGGCAGAAATCCCATATTCACGGGGACAAATACCATATCCATGGGATAAAAACCTCTACGTAGGGGATAAAAACTTGTACCTAGGGGGAAAATCCTATATTCAGAGAGAGAAATCCTATATATGAGGGGAAAAATCCTATATGTAGGGGAGAAATCCCACATCCAGAGAGGAGAAATCCTATACCCAGGATGGGCTTTGCCTCTTTGGAGGTACCCAGGAGGAGAGATGGGGGCTTTTCCTTGTGCTGCCACCTGAGCAGGAGGAGGAAAAAGAGGGGGGAAAGTGTGGAAAGGAAAAAAAAAAAAAAAGAGGAAAACGGGGAAGAAAGGGGGCGAGGGGCAGGGAAAGTCAGGGGAAACATGGAGAAAGGGGGAAAAGGATGTGGGTTTGTGCCGATCAGCTCCCGGAGCCGGTCGGCAGCAAGGGGAGCTCACCCTCTGGTGAGGAGCGAGGGGTGCAGCTCCAGTTAATCCCTTTATCCACACGCAACCCCCGATCCCAACTGGACAGTAATTTAGAGGGTAGAGGAGGGGGAAGAAAAAGCTAAAAAAAAAAGCTGGATTTGGGGACGGGGGTGATTTTCCCGAGCGGGCTGTGGGATGCAGGGTGCTGACCGTGCTGTGGCCCCGGTGGGATGGACGCTGAACTGGTGCGAAGCAGGAGGGGGTTTGGGGTGGGGGGCTGGGGGGAGATGGACCTGGGGGCTGCAGCAGCGCCGGGGTGGGGGGAACGTGGAGCTGGTTGAGCTCTTGGGTGCAGCACCCATCGCACCCCCGCCCCACCACTCCCAAACCCCCTCGGCCGCCCCCGGACCGCAACATTGATAACGGATTAAAGGCGAAAAAGCGGGTGCTGAGTGGGGGGGGAGAGGGGGAAGGGGGAACCTACATTGCAGCAGTCCATGGCGGAGGACGGGTGGGCGGCCAGCGGCGGGCGAGGGGCTCCGGCAGGATCTCGGTTCCCCGGCAGCTCTCCCGGCGCAGGTGGCAAGTTGAGCGGAGCCGCTTGCCTACGTAATGCGCTTTCCTCCGGGCGAGCCTATCAGCCCGACACCCCTGCCAGGCTTTTGGGGGGGAAAAGGAGGGGGGTGTCTTTTTTTTTTTTTTTTTCCCTCCCTTTCTCCTCTTTTTTTTTTTTTTTTTTTTTCCCTCCTCCAATTTTATTTCGCAGCCTCCAACTCCCTCCTAACACTTAAAGGAGCCGGCAGCCTCGGAGTTTCGTGGAACACAACATCACATGCGGAGGATGAGAGCCAAGATCTGACGGGGCTCACCCTCGGCGTGGAGGGTTGTTTTGGGGATTTTTTGGGGGGGGAGGTGGGGAGACAAAGCTGCAGCAAATGGGGGCTACTGGTGCATTTTCAGGGGGGGACATTTGGCCCGCAGTGACGCTGGAGGGAGGTTTTCCCCCCACCCCGGGTTCATTTGCACAGGGGGAAAATCGTTCTTGACCTACTTAGGACTTGGTCCCAAAGAAGAGTGTGGATGAGGATCGCAAGGAGGAAATGGTGAGAAGGGTGGGCATGGTGGGACACCAAGTCCCAGTGAGCACACCCCTAAGCCCAGGGGTGTTGTGCCCAACTCCAGGCTCCACACAGAGGAGTGGGCTCCGCTGTTGGGGTCTGGGGTCCCTTCCCCACTCACAGGAGTATCCAACCCCCCACATTTAGGGTGCTCTCCAACCAGACCTGCACCCCCAGCTGCCTTCCCGGCCCTTGGTGCTGCCTGCAGACCCTGCTTCCACCCTCGGACCACGCCGAGGTGCTGGGACTGACAGGGTGAGTCGGGGCACCCCAGGAAGGAGGAGGGACCTCCAGGGCAATGCGGGGGGCTGCAGCCTACAGCCCCCCCATCGCCCGCCTCGCTCTCCTCTAATCCGGGTTTGGGAGTTGCTAAGCAACTGCATAAGTCGCCCGTGGGCTCAGCGCCGATGCCGCTCCGGCCAGCCCCCAAAACACAGTGTGGCCCCCCCAGACAGGCACCAGCACCCCCGGCCCACCTGTACAGCCCAGCCCCACCGGAGCTCCCTGGGTGGGTTTGCTCACCCTGGGGTCGTTGTTCTTGGGGGCCTGGTGGCACTGACCTTCCTCTTTGCCGCCATCATCATCATCACTGTCCCACTGACATCACTGTCACTGCTCCTGCCACTGTCCCCACTGCTGCCACCAGTCCTGTCCCCATCCCTGACCTCACCCCCATCACCTCCATCACCTTCTCCATCCCCACCACTTTCCTGTCACCATCTCAATTGCCATCCCAGTCATGATCCCCATCCCCATTCCTATCCCCTCCCCTGTCCCCATTCCCATTCTTGTCACCATCCCCATTCTTGTCCACTTCATTATTCGTGTCCCCATCCCCCCCCTCAATCCCCATTGCTGTCCTGATTTCCAGCTTCAACCCCATCATCTCTGTCCCCATCTCTATCCCTTTCCCCATCCCCATCATCACCCTCATCCCTGTCCCTATCCTTAGCCCTGTCTTTCCCATCCCATCTCCATCTCTGTCCCCAGGGCCATTCCAGTTGGATGCAGGTGGTGGCACACCTTGTGCCCTGTCACTCCAAGCTCCCCAGGACACCCTGACATCCCACTCCCCATCCCACTCTACCCCATTCCATCTCATCCCAGGCACATCCCATCCCTGCCCCCCACCTTGACCACTTCACCCACACTTGGAGGCTGATAGGGGTCACCCCCACCCTCGCAGGACCAGGCACACAAATCCCCCTCCAGGACATGCTCTAAAGCATCTCTCAATTCTTCCACCAGCTGCTGGCACTCCCTGCTGGAGACGCTCTTCCACCGCCACCTCTTCCCACCAGCGTGGCTGGGGGTGTGGGGAATAGCGTGGGGAATAGCTCTGCTCCAGAAAACCCCACTCCAGCTTCCAGGACAAGCCTCAGCAGCTCTGCTGGGATCCTTTTCCCTGTTTCCTTAGACCCTGCAGGTCCATCGCTGCCTGCTCCGATCAGAGGAGACAGGGAGTTTGGGGGGAGTGAAGCGGGAAGGGTTTTCGGGGTGATTCATCCATCAAGGATCTGGGAAATTAGCCCCAAAATTAGGATTAGTCCCTCAATTAGTCCCCAAAATCCGCTCCAGCCGTGGCCCCCCGGTCCTGGCAGAGCCGCCGAGCGCCGCCGTCTCCTGCAGGCTGAGGCTGCGGAGGAGGGACGTGAAATGCCAGAACATTTCTAATCATTAACGGCGGGGTTTGAGCCCGTTCCAGGCTCTGCGTTTTTCCTCCCTGGGCCCCTTCATCCGGGTGATGCTTTTCCAGGTGCTCCAGCACCTCCAAAACCTGAATTCCAAGGGAACAACTCAGATTTCGGGAGGGGAGGAGGACGGGCAATCGCAGCTGGGCAAGACGTGGCGGGAACATCCCACAGTTGTGGTTTGAGATGGTTGGCACTGAGCTGTTAAGAAATCCTTTAAAAAAAAAAAAAAAAAAAAAGAAAAGAAAAAATCCTTAAAAAAAAAATGGGAACTGGATGCTGGAAAGATGCCCTGGGCGGGCAGCATTGCCGGCTGCCGAAGCAGGAGCCGGCAGCCGGCGAGGCGGTGCCGGAGTGGGGGTCAAGGCGTAGCTGGTTGGCATCAGCCCCGGCACAGGGTCCCTGCCAGCTTTTTTTCCTCATCCCTCCTTCCTGTTTTTCCCAGGGGAGCTGCCATCGTGCCCCGTGCCGTGGGCGAGTGCTGCATATGGCCGAAGAAAACAGGAAAGAGGGGGGAAAAACAGGGTGAGCATGGATGGGGGTCTCAGACCACCCCCAAAAATAGAACACAAACCCCATCACTAACTGGGGCGGGGGGGGATTTTGGAACTACTCCAGGTGGGAAAACATGAAGTTCACAGGTTGCAGTGAGACTGAGGGACCCCTGCACGCACCCCAAAATTCCATGGAGGCATCTGAGCTCTTGGAGTTGAGTAGGAGAGGAGCAATGTCACATCATTTCTTCACGCCGGGATGTTATTAAGTTTCTTCCAACCTCCAGGGATGCAGGGGCCTAAATATAGAGGCTAAAAATATCAACCCGTGCTCAGCTCAGCCCCAAACCCAGGAGTTTTCGGGGAGAAATCTCAGGTGAGAAGCGCTAATAACGGTCAGGACCTCATTAATAAAAGTCCTCATTAAATCAGCGCTGCAGGGGTGGGATGGGAGGCCCCAGGAGAAGGGCAGGAGTTGGTGTGGGATGGAGGGGGGTTTTTTTGTTTGGTTTGGGGTCAGATGGTGGGAAATGGGGGATTTGGGGCAAGCACTGGGGTCGGGTCACTGGGGAGGTGTCCTGGTTCACGAAGGTTATGGGAATGGGCTCCCCCCGGGTGCCTCTCTGTGCATTTTGGGGTGGAATCACAGTGTGTCGGTGCTCTGGGTGCTGTCTGCTCCCCCTGGTGCTGCCTCCGTGTCCTTGGCCTCCTTCGGCTCCTGGAAGAAGAGCAGGAAATTTAGGTGGTATGGGACAAGGGCGGCAGAGATGGGGTGGGAGGAGGGAGCCAGTGCAGCCCTCGGTACCCGGATTTCTCTGGAGGGGCCTGGAAGGGAGTGTGGCCTACCTGGGAAGGGGGCCAGGTGAGGCGGTGGTCCTCCAGCAGGGCTCCCCACGCCACCGGGTCAACGGCACCAGCTGGGGAAAGAGGAGGCTTGATGGGCACATGGGCAGGCACAACGCCACGGGTGACAGGCACAAATGGAAGGCCTGATGCCATAGGCAATGGACATTTGGGGCAGGCACAACGCCACGGGTGACGGGCACACAGGGTAGGTGTGATGCTGCGGGTGATGGGCACACAGGAGAGGTCTGATGATGGGCACTTGGGGCAGGCAAGATGCCACACAGGCTGGGCAGGCAGGGCAGCATGGGGCAGGGGAAGGTGGTGCAGGGCTGGGTGCTGGGCCGGGCCACTCACCCTCTCTCTGCTCCAGCAGCCTTTGGAAGTGCTGAGCCGCAAAGGCCACCACATCTCCGGGCTGCTCCCGCAGCACTTCCCGCACCAGCCCCTCCAGCAGGTTCTGGAAGCCGGCAGGCACCCTCACGCTGGTGGTGGAGAAGGGGACGGACATGGTCACTCTCCCAGGCCCCCTGCGGTAGAACAGCCCTGGATTAACCCCAGTCCGCAGCCCTCGGAGCCGCCGGGCAGCGCCGGGACTCGAACCCGCGGCTCGCAGGGGTGCGGGGAGCGCTGGGGAGGGGGGGCAGCGCCGCCGCTAGGGGGCGATCCCCTCTGCGCACGCGCAGCGCCAGCGCAGCACGAGCACGGGCGGGGGGCGAGCGCGGGGAGACTCCCGATGTCCCCAGAGGTCCCCCCGAGGTCCCCCCAGTGTCCCCCCGAGGTCCCCACGGTGTCCCCAGTGTCCGCCCGGGTCTCTCCGCGCCCCCAGTTTTCCCCCTCGCCCCTGCCGTCAGACCCGGCCAGAGCCGCGGCGGCGCCTCAGGCCGTGGGTGCGGACGCCGTCGCTTGGCAACCGCACCCAGGCCACGCCCCCTGTGCTATGGCCCCGCCCATGGGGCGGGGCGAGAGGCAGGGCCAGCGGAGGGTCCGGGGATACCGGGGGGACCGGGGGGGCCGGGGAGTACCGGGGGCACCGTCACACCACGCTGTGCCCCCAGGATGGCGGCGTGGGCGCTGCTGGCGCTGCCGGCGCTGCTGGCTCAGGCTCCGGCGGCGGCAGGTAAAGGGCTGGGGGGGGTTCACCCTCCGCCCCCCTCCCAGCCCCGCGGGCACCCCCTGCAGCGGGACCCCCCCTAATCCCACTTCGGGGCACTTTGGCATCCCAGCAGCCGGGCTTCCATGCCCTTGGCCTCTTCTAATACTCCCCCCCACAGCTCGGCTTTGACACCCGTTGCACACCCCTCGAGCCTCGCTTCGGGGACCTTGGCTCGCCCCCCAGCCCCGTTTTGATGCCCTGTGCACCCCTTCGATGACTTTGGCACCACCCTGAGCATCTGGTGCCTTCCCAGCCCTTCTTCCATGCCTTTGGCACCCCCCCCTTAGCCCAGCTTTGATGCCCTTGGCGGCCCCCCCAGCCCCTCTTTGACACCCTTTGCGCCCTCCAAGCAGAGCTTCCTTGTCCCGGAGCCCCAGTTCGGCGCCCTTTGCACCCTATGGGCCCCACTTTGACCCCGTTCTCGCCGCACCCCCGCGGTGCCCTTGGCCCGGCGCTGCCGCCGTGGGACGGGGCTTTACGTAAGGTGGGAGCCACATGCGGCTCCTCGGCCCTGTGTCGTGGGCTCTTCTCCCTTCCCTCCTCCCTTCCCTCCTCCCAGCTGCTTTTTATAGCCTCCACTCACTTCCCTGGCGTCTCAGTTCTAATTTTTTTTTCCCGTTTTTCTCTCCTCCGACTTGTTTTTTATGTAACTCGTTCTTGCCGGAGCCTCGTGGCAGGAGGCAGTGGGACCGGCGACGCGGCTGATTCCCGGGGGGCTGAGGAATTCTGTGCCTTGCTTAAACCCCAGCCTGGGATGAGCTGCGGAGGAGATGGGGCTCTGTGAGCTCCGGCTGGGACGCTGTAATGGGGATCCCTGCCCAAATTGCCCCTCAAACATTGCCCCAACCCCTTTTCAGACATGATTATCTTTTCATACCCCAAAAATGGAGCTTTTGGGGCTGCCAGGGCTTAGCCCTCTGCTTCCTTCCCTGCTGAAGGTGTCTTTGCCACTGCAACATGCCTGGTGTTTCCCATCCCACCCTTGCCAAACTTTTTTCCCAAGGGAAAAATATGTCAGAACATATTTATCAGAAAGGCTGGGCTGGCAGAGACACTCCTATGCTGTTATTAGAGGAATTTTTACCAAAATCTGTGTCCAAATCTATGTAACACACTCCCTGTGCTTTGGGAGATTAATTTTCTCTTGGGGACTTCAAATCCTGCTGCTTCCTCAGCTCTGGGGTGATTTTAACCACTTTAAGGCTGTCCAGAAGGCTGTAAAACTAAGCAGGTTCTCAAACAATCTGCATTTAAGAGGCTGTTTTTCTCTTGGAGCTGATGTTTGCCCTGTCTGGTGATTCCAGGGGGGATGTTCGGCTTCGCCTCTTCCTACGGCGACCACATGGTGCTGCAGAGGGAGCCGGCGGGGGCCGTGCTGTGGGGCCACGGGGAGCCGGGGGCTGTGGTGACCGTGACTCTCTCGGGGGCCGGGGGCCTCGTCATCATGAAGAAAACAGCACCGGTTAAAGGTCAGTCCCAGCCCCTCACCGGGGATTGGGGCCGTTGGTTTTGGTGGCCGAGGAGTTCGTCCAAGCCCAGACCGGAGCCGCCGGTGGGGTTTGTCACCACCCCTGGGTTTGTCACCTGGGGGTGCAGAGATGACGGTGACTTCACATCATGCTTTCCCCTCTGCAGGAGATCTGGGGGGGATCAGCCATCCCCACCAGCGCCAGCCTTTGCTCACTTTGGTTGCCACCAGCGGATCCCGTGGGCGCCCAGCAGGAGCCGAGCTGCCGCTGCAGTGGGTGGCACCGCACAGGCTGGAGCCGAGCGGCGAGGCTGCCGAGGGGAGAGCAGGGATCGAGCTCCTCTCCCTGTCAAAACTATCTCTGGGGAATCTCCAGAGCACTCCTGGCTTCTTTTTCTATCTATGCCCTCTTGGAATCTCTAAGCCCTGAAGGATGTTGCCCATGCAGGCAGAGACTTCTTGGGGGCTGGGAGGGCTCAGGAGCACCTCAAATCCCAGTTGCTTCCCTGCTTAGAGAGCTGGGGGGCTGCTCATCACATTTGAGGGGGCAAAACTGCTGCCCAAGAGCACATCCACAAGCTGGAGAGCCTGGAGGTGTCTTATGGGAGAGCAGTGATTCCAGGAGATCTGCAGGATCCAGCCTGAAAATCCATGCTAAGCTCCAGCAGAATATCTTTATGCCTTGATTTGGCACCTCTAAAATTAGCCAGAGACATCTCGGTGTCACACACACCAAGCTGCTCCTGTAGTCCCGGTTCCTCCCAGCAGCTTCTGCTCTGACACACATTTGTTTTCTGGATTTTCTTTTTTAACCCCTAAATTCCCTCAGGAGGAAAGACCCTCTGATGGCAGAGAGCTTCCGAAATCCATTTCCCCGGCCTGGCTCTGTGGCGAGGAAGCTTTTCCCTGTTGCCCATCCATCCCCGCTGGTTGTTGGCCGCTCATCCAACATCCCTGTGAAGGTCTTGAGATCTTTGTAGGTCTGGTCGAAGCTAAGCACCATCCTTTTTCTTCAGGACCTTCTGGGACATGGACAGCTGTCCTGGACCCCATGGATCAGGGTGGTCCCTACACACTGATAGCCGAGCAGGGCTCAGAGAATGTGACACTGTGGGACATCTACTTTGGGGACGTGTGGCTTTGCAGTGGGCAGAGCAACATGGCAATGACAGTGCTGCAGGTAAGGGCCCATGGCATGGATCAGGCAGGATCAGGTAGGGATGAAGCAGGGAAGCACCTCACATGCTCCCACCCCTTCCCCAGGTGGCCAATGCCAGCCAGGAACTTGCCTCCGTCGCTCACTATCCCTATGTCCGTGTCTTTGCCGTGGCGCCTGCCCGCTCTGACGTGGAGCTGGAGGACCTGGAGCAGATTGCCTTGCCATGGTCCATTCCCACGGCCAGTGAGTGACACGTACCTCCAAAAGAAAGCCTGGAAATGGCTTTCCCCCCGCTTTTTCCCTTTGCAGCCCACTGTTTGTTGAGCAGAAAACCTGGGCCACGGGAATTTCACCTACTTCTCGGCCGTGTGCTGGCTGTTGGGGCGCTCCCTGTACGAGGCTCTGGGGATCCCTGTCGGGCTGGTGGAGGCGGCCTGGGGGGGGACCCCCATCGAGGCCTGGTCCTCCCGCCAGGCTCTGCAGGCATGCGGGCTCCCGGAGGACACGGGGAGGTGAGAGAAGGTGCCGTGGAAACACCTCTTGCCCTGCATCACACTGCTTTTGGGGAGTATCCTCATCCCTTCCCACCCCACCTCCTCTCCTACTGTCCCCTCTGTGCATCATTTGTCCCCTTCTGGATAAAATCCTCTCCCATGCCAAGAGCGTAGGGCAAATCTAGGTGGGTAGAGGGGGAAGATGGGGACCCCAGAGCTCCCCCTTGGCACAGTGCTTCCTTTAACCATGCAGGGCTAAGCCCCCCTTGCGCTTTGCACCACCTTTAAGCCCAACTTTGTCTTCCAGCACCTCCCCACACCAGCATCTTTCCGGCCCGCAAACACCGTCCGTGCTCTGGAACGCCATGATCCACCCGCTGCTCCACATGGCCCTGCGGGGCATCGCTTGGTACCAGGGTGAGCCTGTTTTTCCATCCCCCGAGGTGGAGCAGCCCCCGCTGTCCCACGGGGTTCTCACTGGCCCCTCTCTCTGTGGGACAGGTGAGGCCAACGCCTTCCTGCACACGGACTGGTACAACTGCACCTTCCCCGCGCTCATCGCCGACTGGCGCCGCGCTTTCCATGCCGGATCAGCCGGACAGACGGAGCCGCTCCTCCCCTTCGGCTTCGTGCAGGTTGGGGGCGCGAGAGGGAGGACCCCCCTGGGGTTGCCCAGGAAGGTTTTACCCACCCATTCCCACACTGGAGGCCACTTCCAAGCTGGCAGCAGGGAGAGGATGCTGTAAACACACGGGCGGGTCCTGCTGGGTGCCAAATGCCCAGCAGGGGCCAGAGTGGCTGTTTTTGGGAGTGATGGCTAAAAGCCACTCCCCCATTCTTCCCCTTGCAGCTGTCCACCTACCGCCGTGAGAGCCCCGATGACAGCTTTGCCCGGCTCCGCTGGCACCAAACAGCCGACCTGGGGGTTGTTCCCAACGCCAGGATGCCCGGCACCTTCATGGCCGTAGCCATGGATCTGGGTGATGAGCGCTCTCCCTACGGCAGGCGAGTCCTGGGCCGGGGTGAGGGTGTAGGGATGAAGCTTTTGGGTACCAACCCCATCTCCTTCCTTTTCCTTGGCAGCATCCACCCCCGGGACAAGCAGAATGTGGCACACCGGCTGCTGCTGGGTGCCAGGGCTGTGGCATATGGGGACAAAGACGTGGTTTTCCAGGGGCCGTATCCTACCCAGGCCATCCTGGAGGTGACCAGGGGGCTGCTGAATGTCACCTACAGCCAGGAGCTCGTCTGCCGTCAGAGGGACGCGCAGGCATTCGAGGTGAGGGGTAGCAAATCCTCCCCCAGGGGCGGTGAGAGGGGGAAGGCCACGCTGATGAGGGTTTCTCCCCTCCCCAGGTTTGCTGCTCCAGCAAGGTGTCCCCGTGCCAGTGGCTGCCGGCACCGGTGGTAGCGGTGGGGTCCCGCATGGTGACGCTGGCCCTGGGTGGCTGTGGGACGCTGGTGCTGGGCCTGCGCTACGCCTGGGCCGAGTGGCCCTGTGAGTACCAGTCCTGCCCCCTATACAACCCCCAGGGGCTGCCCGCACCCCCCTTCCTGCTGGACACCCTCCCCACAGGCAGCACCGACGGAGGGAGGGAGCTGCTTCTCCTCCCTGGCTCCAGATTTTCTTGAGGGATTTAGGGGAGAGGAGGGAACTCAGGCTTCTGGGTCCCTCTCCAATCCTGGGAGGCAGCAGGCTCGATTACTGTCCTACTAATTAAACAACTTTCCAGCTCCTCTTTGGCTTCAAGCCAAGGCTGCAGGGGGGAAAAAATAAGCCAATTTACAATTAAATTTATGAGAAATGATTTTAAGAGAAGTAGTAGGACACACCAATGGGAGCTGCTTCTCACTGCTTCTCCCCCTGCCCGTGGAGCTGGTCCTGGTTCCCCAGGAGGCTGGTTCTGGCTCCCCAGGACACCCCATTTCTCAGGGCATGGACTGCTCACCCCCATGACAGGGTGCTTGTGGGATCCAGGGATCAGCTTCCAGCTGCAGGGTAGAGCAGGGAGAGAGGAGCTCTGCCAAAAACCCACAGCCAAAGGCTAAGGCTGGGCTGGGACAGGGAGCTGTGAAGGGTGTGAGTGCCTTCCACCTCCCTCTGTTAATAAACAATAAATAGTAAATAAACCAGCTCATTTTATTCCTGCATCCTTTCTCTCCTTCAGAGGAGTACCCTTTATTCCTCCATCCTCCCCCTCCTGCTGTAACAGCAGGGAAATTTGTGTGGAAGAGGCACAATGTGGCACCCAGTGCTTGGAATAAGAGAACCCAAGAGGTTCTGCACAAAACATTGATTGTTTAACCCTATTTTTCTGAAAAAACATACATAAGAAGGGAAATCCCAGGTGCAGGAAAAGCAGGTGGGCTCAGCCCAGCTGCCACATCACAGCTGTGTTAGAACCAGGGTAACGCACTCCAGCGATGCCAGCAAGGATGTGGATCAAAGTGGATCCTGGGATGGCAGGATCCCTGCCTGCTCCTGGGTCAGGCAGAGCCAAGCGAGTCCCGGGAGGCTTTTCCCATCGTTTCCACTCCAGGCTTCGGTTCTAGACAGGGTGGGAAGAGCAGGCAGTTACTTAACAGGGCGATGGCACACTGGGATCTGGGCTTTCTCCAGCAGCGTGAGACTGGCCCAGGAGCCAGGTGTGCTGGCCCTGTGGTTGCCATGGCAATGAAGATGTGAAATCCAGCTCGATCTGGGTGGTTTTTTTAAACCACAGCTCAGACTGTGTATTCAGGGCCAGGAACGGAGCCCAGGCCTCCCAGCTCCTGCCTGCCGGGATGGGCTGTCTCACACAGCCTGGAAACCACTGCCGTAGGCTCCGGGGATCCCTGTGAGACCCCAAAGGAGGCACCTACCTCCCCAAAACCCAAAGCACGTGGGAGAGGGAGCAGTGCAAGCCCCAGAGATGTTGGCTGTGAAGCCTGGCTCCCTTTCTGCACACAGCCCTGCTGTGCCCACCAGTGCCATGCAAACAGGAGAAGGCAGCAGGCACGGCATCCTTGGCATCAGCCCCCCCAGGACTTAAAGCTCCCAATCCCACTCCAGCAGGCTGAGCTGCCAAAAACAGGGACCCTCGCGGCCCCGCAGTTTGCCCAGAGCTTGGATTTAAGTGGCAAGCTCTCTGCTTGCTGTTCCTATAGCAACTCCTGCCCACGCCTGGGATTGCAGTAGCATCACATCCCAGCTGCCAGAACCCTCTCCCAGAGCTGTCGACCCTCATGGTGACCCCCAGCAGCCCCTCAACTACCTCCCAAACACCTCAGTGTCTTGGCAAAGGGCTTAGGGCAGCGGTGGACGGATCCAGCCCCATTCCAGAGGTGGGATATGGCAGTGTGGGAACCAAGAGGAGAGGGAAGTTGACTCTACCCAAAGAGCCTACCTAGGGCCGTGCCATTGGAGAGGGCTGTGCCGCCCTCGGCCTCGGAGGGGCAAGCTTGGTGCTTGGGCTTGGTGGTCTCCAGCCCCGCCAGCAGCGTCATGAAATCAATGACGGTGTCGATGTCCTCCTTGTTGGCCGTGGCTTCCCTCAGGGCGCTGACGGCATTGAGGCGGCCGAAGGAGGTCAGCTCGGAGATGTTGGCGCGGAGGAAGAGGAGGATGACGTTGAGGTCGTTGAGGGGGCAGGTGAGCATCCTGCGGCTGAGCAGGTCGAAGGCAGGCAGCATCTCGTAGACGGAGAGCAGCCCCTTGTCCCACTGGCAGAGCTGCAGGGCGTTGTAGATGACGACGGGGATAAGGAGGATGTAGACACTGCCGACTGAGAGGCTGATGAGCTGGAAGATGGAGAAGAAGACCAACTTGCAGGGGATGAGTGGGGGGATGTGGGGCTCTGCCTGGAGCAGCCCTGTTTTGATGGAGCAGCTGAACTCATCCTGGAAGAAGATGTTGAGGTGGAGGAAGACCAGGTAGAGGCAGGTGGCAGCCAGGAGCAGGAGTAGCAGCAGGTTCCTTAGGATGTAGATGAACGTCAGGGCGTGGGCGTGCTGCTTGCAGGTCAGGTACCGCTCCAGCAACGGGAACTCAAAATACCTCTCCCGGCGGGCCCTGGGGGCAGAGGGACACAGGGGGAGTGAGAGCCACCCCCCAAACCTCACTGCCTCACCCAAGTCCATCCTGGACACAGTCACAACACCCCGAGGAGGGACTCCCAGGGCCGTGGTGACCTGGCAGGGCCTCACCTCTCGTACTCCTCCCAGAATCGCTCCGGCTCATCACTGGCCAGCTGGACCTTCCTCATGTGCTGCACCAGGCGCACCGAGCGGTTGTAGGATTTATCCAGCTCGTCGATGATGAAGAGCAGGTCAGAGTGCAGGGCGGGGGCGGCGGCATAACGCCACAGCAGGTATGGCAGGTACATCAGCACCGCCACCACCAGCAGCGAGTAGGGGAAGACCTGAGCAAAAGGGATGAGAGGGCGTTGAGGGTGTGGAGTGCACAGCCAGGCGGCACTTGGGGACACCCAGACGTGACTCTGACCCTACCTTGAGAGCCCAGAGGGACTTGGTGACAGCATGTCCCTCGGCGTCGAAGCCGTGGTGGATGAGGGAGTCCCAGCAAGCCGTGTCGGCATAGGCAGACTGCTTCCCCGTGAAGTTGGTGGGAGAGAAGCAGCTGATCTGGGAGCCTGGGGTGAGGAGGAGAAGGAGAGTGAACCTCAGCCATGGAGGGTGGAGGAGCATTCCATAGCCAGGAGGGTGATTATATCTAAGGCATTGCTTTGAATTAAAAAAGCCTTTTTCATGGTCATTTTGGAGCTGCTTTTCCTCACTGCTGCGTTTCCAGCAGGGACTTTTCCATCTCTTCCCAAACACAAACCCTTTGTGCGCAGTGGTGCTGGGAATTAAGAGACCAGCCAGACTAGAGTAAACCCAAATACCCAGGGGAAGCAGCAGAATGTTGGCCAAGGCCAAATTTAGCTTGAGGTCACAACACACCATCAATGCATCTCTCTGTGCTGCCAGCACCCTCCTCCTAAACAACCCCATGGCACCCAAAGGTGCTGGGCACGAGCAGCTGAGGCTGGGCATCGATTCAGCGCCACTCCTGGGGTTAGCATGGCTGTTCCCGGGCTTTCCCAGTGCACAGCAATCCATTAATAACAATCAATAAACCCCCATGACGCAGAACAGCTCCTAAAACGACTTCCAGGCTGCTCCGCCTCGGATCGCGACACTGGCACGAACACGAGGGGTTTGCCGTGACAACCAAACCCCCACCGGCGATTGCCCTCAACCCAAAGATCCCTTTGGAAAAGCTGCGACTCACCGGCAGAGAACTCCCGGGCAAAAGCCAGCGAGACGAGGCAGAGGGGCAGCCCCACAGTGACAAACTTCAGCAGGCGATCGCTTGGCAGCTCCAGGCGCAGGCCCTTGGCTCGGGAACTGCCGGGATCCGGGAGCAGAGCGTCAGAGAGCATGTACTCAGCAGCCGTGTGCGAGAGGGACATGGTGAAGCGAGGAAGAGGAGACGCTGGCAGTGCTGCTGGTGTCGCCTGAGGTGTGACCGGCTCAGGAGCGACTTGGCCAAGCTGAGGAGTCCCTGCCGAGTGTTGTGTCCGATGGCTGTGAAGGACAGCTCAGACAGGGCGTTAAATCGCCCTGTAATTACAGGGCAAGCCTTTTCACAAACAGAAATAGAAAATCCCACCCCAGCAGCCATGGCAGCGGGCTGGGGAGGCAGAGTTCCTCCCCAGCAGGGTTCCCGCCCGGCTGCTCCCGGCTCCCCGTGGTTTTACGCCACTCTCTCATCAGCCGAGGGATTTCTGGCGCCGTGGCCTGAGGGCACGGGGGTCCCTGGCTATTTTCAGTGGGGAGCCAGGGGACAGGCACTCCCCCAGGGAGAAGCCCCAGACACACGGTGGCCCCATGGGGTACAAGGAGCCCTTTCCAACACCCAAACCAGCTAGAGGGGACAGAGAACATCCTGCTGCCCCACCCCAAGGTCCTGGCACAGGCCAGGAGCCACGAAATGAGGCAATTCTGAGGCAGAACATCAGCTGCAATTCCCCAGATTGTCAATCCCTCCTCTCGCCTCCCTCTCAAGGCACAAGAGGAGGAATGTGGCTCCAAGGAACGCTCCCAAGGGCAAGGGATCCCAGTAAGAGGATTTAGAAACAAGGGATGGGGTAACTGGAAGGGGCAGTGGGACAGAGCAGTTTCTCCCAGGAGCACAGTCACTGCCCAGAGACCTGTGCTAACACTACTGGCAGCACAGAGCAGGGGCAGTCCCAGAGCTGCTCAGCCCAGCCAAGCCAAGGAACTCCCCGTGCAGTCTCTCAGCACGGTGAAAAAAATCCACAGCCGCTGCCAAATGACACTTTCCATGGATTTTCCAATGAAGGGACTTTCCAAATCTGAGCTAAACAGCTCTAAAGGGAAAAGTGACGGCTCCAATCCAGGAGGGGCTGCACCCAGGTGTGCTCAAACCTGCCCAGGGACTGAGTCCCACCCAGCCTGAGCACAGAGACACACAACCCCTTCCCTCGAGGGAACCAGAGCTTTTATTGCTCAGAGACAAGTCCAAAACATGGATCAGGCAGAGCCCAATGTCCACCCAGCCTCGTTTGTCTAGAGGCTCTTCAGTGTGCCCAGCTGCTTTCCTGTACCAGAAGCACACGCAGGCACCTGCTCTGAATCCAGCAACACCAGCACAGAGACCGCAGGCTTCACCCCACCGCCGGCTCCAAGGCAGGCACAGCCACGGCCCCGTGCTGGAGATGAGGAGATACCCAGCACCACTCCTCGTCAGTCCTTAGCAATGTCCAGCTCCAGCTTCCTCAGGGTTTTTTGGAAGAAGGGGGGTGGTTTGCAGACGAGGTCTATGGGCTGGCCCAAGGGCAGGCAGAGCCGGTGGGCGTGCAGGTACAGCGGCAGGTGCCGAGCCTTGCTCTGCTGCAGCTTCAGCCTCCTCAGGGTGAGCTCAGGAAGTTTCTGCAGCAAGGACAGAAAATGTCCATTCAAAACCCCAGCTCTTCAGCTGGGACATGAAATCCCTGGCCCGCAGGGAGGTGGGGGACAAAAGGAGCTGGATCCAGTGCAAGATCTGCCCTACCTGGGGTGCCAGCTTGCTCCAGTGTGAGTATTTGTGATCCCCCAGGATGGGGCACCCCAAACCATAGGCCAAGTGAACACGGATCTGGTGCTTCACCCCTGGGGAGAAAACAGAAAGAGTACAAAAGTGACATCCAGCCGTGCCAAGCCTCGGCTCCCACCCACAGTGCTGGACAAGGCTGTACCGAAATTGCCGGCAGCCAGAGAACAGCTCAGCAGCAAACCATTGCCCCAGCAGGGCTTATTCCCAGAGCCTTGTCCCCAGAAGGATTCCAGCCGTGTCTAACAACGAGTTCCCACTTCCCAGTGCTGCTCCTGGCCCCCTCACCGGTGATGGGCTGGAGCTCCAGCAGCGAGCAGGCGGAGGCACCGGCCAGCCGGCGGTACCGCGTCACCGCGCTCTCGGCGCTCCGGTTCTTGCGGATTTTCACCTCCCTCCCATCCTCCGGACACAGGCGGTAGTTGGGAGCCAGCGTCATCTGAAGGGCGGTGAGAGGGTGAGCCGGGGGGAGGCAGGAGGGAGTGCCGGGGGTGCCAGGGTGGAATGGGCTCACCTTGTAGTGCGACTGGTGGCTTCGCACCTCCTTCTCCACGATGGGGATCTCCACGATGCCCTCAGCAGGGTCCGGGTCCCCCAGGACAATTGCCCTGAGAAAGGAAAGCACAAGTCTGTGGGCTGTTACTGCTGCAGGAAGGGAGCCCTCCCCTCAGCCCTCTCCCACCACACAGCCCCATAAAATGCTGCTGCCCTCACATCCTGAAGACTATCCCCTCGCTCCTTCCTCAAACCCCCTTCACAGCCCCTTCTCTACCCAAACCTTTCCTACCAGTAGATCTTCTCCACCTGACGGGTTTTGAAGAGCAGCCGGATCTTCTCTGCTGTCTCCTTGCTCCGTGCCAGCACCATGACACCCGTGGTCTCCTTGTCCAGGCGGTGGCAGAGGTGGAGGGGCTCAGCTCTCATGTTCTCCAGCATCTTGGCCAAAATGGGCAGCACGTCAGCGATGCAGTTCTTGATGCCGGGGCCGCCTGCGTGACCCACAGCAGGGCAGTGAGGGGCGTGGTCACCTCTGCACACACTCTAAACAACCCCCAAGTGCGAGAGGAAGGCTGAGATCTGACAGTGACCAACCCCCAGGAAGCCTCCCTGGGAAGAGAAACCCCAGCACAGGGAGAACAGAGACAGAGGATCCTGTCAGCACCACGGAGCCGTTTCCACTCCCCCCTCTCCCTCACCGTGCACAGGGAGCCCGTAGGGTTTGTTGATCACCACAATCTCCTCATTCTGGTACACGGTTCCCTGCTTGAGGATCTTGGCCAGGACGTTGGGGTGAACCCACTGCAGCTGCCGGCTCAGCGCGGTGAGTTCCCGGAGCTGCCGCTGTGCTGGATCCTTGGGGATCTGAGGAGACGACGAGACCCTCAGCAGGGGATAAACAGCTCTTGGCTTTCACACAGAGCTCCAGTGGGACCTGTGGCAACTCACTCGCCTTCCATGTGTGCCTTTGTCACACCTGAGGGGCAGAGTGGCATCCAGAGGGACCTGGACAAGCTGGAGCAGTGCCCATGGGAAGCTCATGGGGTTCAACAAGGCCAAGTGCTGGTGCTGCTTCTGGGTGGGGGCAACTCCTGGGATCGATCCAGGCTGGGATGAAGGGGTGGAGAGCAGCTCTGGGGGGAAGGACTTGGTGCAGGTGGGTGAGAGGCTGGATATGCCCTGTCCATGTGTCCTGGGCTGATTCCACAGCAGGGGAGGGGGGAATTCTGCCCCTCTGCCCCCTCAGGTGAGATCCCACATGCAGAGCTGCCTCCAGCCCTGGGGAACAGCACAGGGAGGACATGGAGCTGCTGGAGAGAGTCCAGAGGAGGCACTGGAGACTCTCCAAGGGCTGGAGCCATCTGCTCTGATCCAGGTTAGGAGAGATAGGGGTGTTCACCTGGAGAAGACTCCAGGGAGACCTGAGAGCCCCTTGCAGGGCCTAAAGGGGCTCCAGGAGAGCTGGAGAGGGACTTTGGGCAAGGGCCTGGAGGGACAGGACAAGGAAGAAGAGCTTCCCACTGCCAGAGGGCAGGGATAGAGGGGATATTGAGAAGAAATCCTTCCCTATGAGGGTGGGCAGGCCCTGGCACAGGTTGCCCAAAGAAGCTGTGTCTGCCCCATCCCTGGAAGTGTCCGAGGCCAGGTTGAACAGGCTTGGAGCAGCCTGCTCTAGCGGAAGGTGTCCCTGCCCACGGCAGGCGGTGAGATGGGATGGTCCTTAAGGTCCTTTCCCCCTCCATCCCGGGATGTACCGCCCGAGTCTCGCTACCGGGACGGCCGCGCGGGGCACGCCGGGAGTTGCAGTCCGGCCGCCATCTCCCCTCTCACCTCTCGCCGCTGCCCCGCGCTGCTCCTCAGCCGCTCCGCCAGCTCCTCCGCCCGCAGCCCTTCAGCCTCCCGCCCGCTCCTGCTGAGGCCCCGCACCGCCTGGGCCAGCCCCGCACCGCCCCGCGGCCACCACCCCTGCCGCGCCGCGCCACCCGCGGCCGCCATCTTCCTGCCCCCTTCCCCCGTGCCCCGGCGGCCAATGGCGGCAGCGCGGGGGCGGTGCCTTGGAGAGTCTGTCCAATGGGGAGGGGCAACGAGTTGAGTGACAGCCACGCCGCCCAATGGCGGCGGGGCAGGGGTGTTTAAACGGCGGCGGCGGCGGTTGCGGCCCGTAACGGAGCGGCGGGAGCGGCGCGGCCCGGCCGGGCCGGAGGTACCGGGGGCGACAGGGGCGGGGGGCAGCTCGTGTAACCCAGCATAGCCCCGTGTAACTTCAGCAGTCCTCTCTTTGCTGCCCCGCTGCGAGCTGACGGTGCTGCGCCTCCCTCCTTCCCCCCCCCCTCCTTCCAGGGTAGGACACAGCACTGCTACAAGAGGTTTCTTGAGATTTATAAAAAAACAGCACCGAAAAAACGCGCTTTTTTCCCCCAATAACAATAATAAAAGGAAGTGCCGAGGCGCTCCGTCACTCGGTGTCCACGCAGACCCTCTTGGGCGGCTGCTCGGGGGCTGCGCTGCTGCCCCGCTTGCCCTCGGGGGGCTCCTGCTCCCCGGGCACCCCCGGCCCCCGGGGGGGGTCGATGCGGCCCCTCCGCACGAAGTGCTCGATCCGAGCCTCCAGCCCCTCGCACCGGGGCCGGGACAGCAAGGGCTTGTAGGTTCGGGCTTGGACCCCCTCCACGAAGCTGCTGACCAGGCTGCTCCCCGGACCTGTGACATCATGGAAGAAATACGTTTAATTACCCCGTTCTTTCAAATTTTTTTATATAGAATTATGTACACAGCCTTAAGCTGTGCCAGGGAAGGTTTAGGCTGGACTTTATGAAGAGTTTCTTCACAGAAAGGGTGATTAGATGTTGACTGCCCAGTGAGATGGTGGAGTGACTGGCCCTGGTGATACTCAAGGAAAGACTGGGTGTGGCACTCAGTGCTGTGGTTTAGTTGACATGGTGGTGATCGGTCACACGTTGGACTTGATTTCAAATCTTGTCCAACTTAACTGATTCTGTGAATCCCAGAATGGTTTGAGTTGGAAGGAACCTTAAAGACCATCTTGTTCTACCTCCTGCCATGGGCAGGAACACCTTCTGCTGTCTCAGATTGCTCCAAGCCCCGTCCAGCCTGGCCCTGGACACTTCCAGGGATGGGGCAGCCACAGCTTCTCTGGGCAACCTGTGCCAGGGCCTGCCCACCCTCATAGGGAAGGATTTCTTCCCAATATCCAATCTAACCCTGCCTGCTGGCAGTGTGAATTCCAAGGTATTCCCCCAAACTCCCCCCTTACCTTTGCCAGTGGCTGTGGGAGCGGTGTCCAGCCCTGCCAACATGTCCCGAAGCACGTGGGTTTTGACGGCGTGGCTGGCCCAGAGCTGCTGCAGGTGTGTCACGTTGAAGCTCTGCACCTCCGGGTCGCAGAGCCACTGCAGGTCTGGGAACTCGCAGTCGTACAGGACCAGGGGGAACTCGACTGCCATGCTGGGGACAAAGACAGGAGGTGGGCCCACGAAAAGGCTCAAGAACAGTGGATCTGCCACAGCCAGCCCTGTCCTTCACAGAACTCCCTTTCCCAGTAAAAGCTGACTTAATTTTCACCAAATACTAAGGACTAAAGTCATTAAAGCTTTGTCTGAGAGCAAGAAAACAGAAGTCCTTATGGACACATCCCAGGCTGGCAGCCTACTTCCATGCTGTCAGACTGCTCCGTGTGCTGGCAGGGATGTGGCTCACCAGCGGGCACTCCGGGTGCAGCCATCGCTCCGGCCGGTTCTCCAGAGCAATCCCTACCTGTACTGCGGTTTCCGAGGGTTCTTCTCCACATCCAGCAGTTCGTTGATGATGTCTGGGCTCTCCACGCCCTGGCCGATGAGGAAGAGCACGGCCATCATGCAGCGGACCTGGTGGTACAGGAACGCCTGCCCCGTCACCTCGAACTGGCACAGCCGGAAGGGATCCCATGGCCTGGATTCTCCCCCTCTCTCCACCCACGTCACACGGGCGCTGAGGATCGTCCTCTGGAAGTTGAGCACCCCGTTGGCCACGTCCATCTTGCAGAGGTTGCGGAAGTCGTGGGTGCCTACGTAGCGCTGGGCAGCGCTGTCCATGAGGGCCACGTCCAGCTGGGCGCAGGGGAAGAAGTACCGGTAGGTGCGGCGCTGGCAGCTGAAGCGGGCGCTGAACTCCGGCGCCACGGGGGCCCAGGCCAGCACCCGGATGTCAGGGGGCAGCACCCTGTTGAGGATGTGGGTGTAGCGCAGCTCCTCCCGCTGCCCCTCGTCCGCCTGCCCGTTTTGCTGCTGCCCCTCCGGTGGCAGGCTGGAGCGGAGATCCAGGGAAATCACCTGCAGAGACGAGCAAAAGCCAGGATTAGAGCGCGGGTGGATGGGCGCAGCGGCGTGTGAAGCCAAGTCTTCCTACACCTCTGGGAAATAAACCCAGGATCTCCTACGGATGAAGGTGGCTTCAGTCGGGTGATCCTACCATGGAGCTGTGAGTGCCTGTGCTGAGGAGCTGAGCAGATGCCACAGATTCCATTAATAAAACAGGGAAAGTTGCAGGCTGCCTACATAGCACAGTCTCAGAACAGCTTCAACTTTAGTCACTGGGTTTGGGTTATAATGTGCCTTTTTTTTTGAGCTGGAGGTGATGACTTGAAGGCTGGCTTGGAAACCTGGTGTGGGAACAAGTTCATTCCCAGTGCGGGCGCCATGTGCTGAAACGGCACAAGAGGAGGCACCAAGTGCCCTGATTTCGTGCAGCTCTTCCTGCCATGCAGAGCAGAGCAGCCACTCAAGGCCAAACCTATGCCAGCTCTGCTTCCTGCACCAGGAGGGAAAGAAGGAGAGCAGCCCAATGGTGAAGCCACCACAGTTGTGCTCTCCCCAAAGGCTCAGCCAGCCGGGTGGCTCCGTGCCCACCAAGCGGGCCAGCTCCATCCCCTCCCTCCAGCTCCCACTCCCACGCTCCCTTCCGCTGGCTGCAGCTCCCCTCAGACCCTTCTGTGCAGGAATTCAGCTGCCTGATGCTGCAGGAAGGGAGCCAATTTCTGGGGATTTTGGATTTTGGTGGGATTGGAGAGTTAAATCAGCTGAGAGGGCCCTGCTAAGGACATGGCATCACCCCTTTTTGGGCAGCACTGAGCTACTGGAGAAGCTGCAGCCTAAACCATGTTTTGTCCTCCTAAAACAGGGCCCTGGAAAAGAACTTGAATATGAGGGACAAAATAGCACTAAAATGCTTCAGGGGTCTGAAACAGTCTTTCCACATGCAGGAAAGCCACTGCCAGCCTCATTTGCAGGGTTAAGAGCTGATGGCTTTTAAAGAACAAATCCAAGCTGTGCTGTGGGACAGCAATCCCACTGGATCTCCATCCCACCCAGGAAATCCCACAGGAGATGCTGACCTGCCCGAAGGCACTGACTCCCTTGTCCGTGCGCCCGCAGCGGTGGTAGTTGGAGGTCTCTCTGCTGTCCACCAGCCGTGTCTTCTTCAAGGCTTCAAAGAGCTTCTCCTCGATGGTGTTGGGGGTGTTCTCCTGGCTGGCAAAGCCCTGGTAGCCCCAGCCCAGGTAGGCGATGCGCAGTGCCACGTGTCTGCGGCCGTGCGCGCTGAAATCGAAGGGCCTTTGTTGGCGTTTTTTGGCTTTCCCAGGGGCCAGAGCAGCCTCTCTCCTCCCAGTGCCCTCCTTGTCATCCTGGAGCTTCTCCTGCAGCCGCTTCACCTCCGCTTCCAGCTCCTGCACTCTCCTCAGGAGCCCCTCGTGGTCAGCAGCCGTGCTCTCCTCAGCCATAGCCACTGCCCTGGAGTATCAGTTTGTTGCCAGTGGATCCTCGGGGTCTACAGGGAAAGAAAAAAACAGTGGATTTACATTTCTATGTGGTTTTTATTGCACCTCTAGGCTGGCTCCGCAAAATAACCGTTATCCATGGAGTCAGTTTTTATCATCTGAGCCCCACTGTGTTCCAGAGCATGGGCAGGGCCACAGGGGCTCAGCTCGGGCAGCCTTCATCTCACTCCAGTCTCTTTTTTTGGAGTCTTTAATCGCTCCTCTTCCCCCAGCCGATGGGATCCGCTCTGTCAGCGCAGCACGTTCCCGGCGAGCCTTCACGGAGCCTTCTCGCTTTCACACCTGCATCCCGCTGCAGACAGCGCGCTGACGGCTGCCACTCATCCCGCCCCGCCATCTGCTCCCGCCCTTCCCCGTGCCGTGGGGGCTCCTGCAGCTCTTCCAACCCACCTAAAGATATCCTAAGCCTGTGCTGGGAGTGGGATCTGTGTCCGGATCCCTTTTTGTCACAGGGCTAGAGGCTTACTCGAGGTTTACTATCACCAGACTCATAAGCAAGCATCTAAACATGCTGTGCTGAGCCTCTTCCTCCTCTGCAGAAGTAGAACACCCTCTCTGATGTCCCTGGATTAAATAGTGACTAAATAGTGTGGATTTAGAAGCACAGGTACAAGGGGAAAACCATTAATCTCACTCCCAGTGCACGGAACTTGCCCTGTGTTTGTCAATCACGACTTAATTGACCACATAAGTAATGGAGTTTTCCAGCAGGAATTAAGGGCTGCTGTTTCTGTTACTATAGGGAACAGCCTTCTGCTGGCAGCAGGAGGTTCAGCAGTGCATGCCCAACCTAAATCAACACCCCTGAACCCAAACATCTGAGTCTTGGAGCCCCCTTTGACACCTTTAGCCAGCTTGAACATGCTGCAAGAAATTAACCCTGGTTTCTTTTCCTGCAGAATCCACCCTGTTTGGTGGGAATCATGGAGGGGACATCGGGCGCCTGGCCGGGAGGCAGCGAGGAGCTGGCACGTCCTCATGACGACCCCTACGCTGATGCCTCCATCGTTTTTGGGGCACAGGCAGACCTTCCAGTGCATTCTGAGGATCAGAGGAAAAACAGGAAGTTGGTGATGAAGAGGAAGGTGCTGAGGCACAGACCCGACGGAATGGTGGAGATCTTCGATGAGTCAGTGAACAACGAGCCGGGGTGCAGCGCCGAGCCCGAGTGCAGTGCCGAGCTGTGGAAGAGGGGGCATTCCAGGGTTTTTATGGAGGACACCATCTCTGAGGGGGAAATCAGCAGCGACTCCCTGGAGGAGTGCATGCCCTATGAAGATGAGTGGCTCCTTGAGAACAACCGCTGCTCTCTCCTTGAGGATCTTGGGAGACAGAGCACGTCTCAGCGCTCCACTCGGGTGGGATCGCCTACGTCCTACATTCTTTCACAGGTTGGCAGACGGAAGAAAACCGACCCAGTGGCCAAATTCCACGGATACAGACAAGACTGGGAGAGATACAGCTTCCCGGGGGAGGATCCACACGATAGGCTGCGCTGGACCATTCGGAGGCAGATGGCCCAGCCGGGGGTGCCGCGCCGGGCGCCGAAGCGCCTCGTGCCCAACACGTACGTGGTGCCCACGACCAAGCAGCGCGACGCCCTGCGCTTTGGCGTGCGCCGGGACCTGGCCCGCTGCATCATGCCCCGCAGGAACACCTCCTAGAGCCACAGCCCCCGCTCCAGCCCCACCGCTTTCCCCTCCTCAACATCCTCCATCGCCTGGAAAATCCCCTCGCCGAATTCTCGCTTTGCTCTGGAGGAGGGTTTATTTGTTGTCTCCTTTTCTTTTAATAAAGCACCTGCAAACGTTCCTTATCGTTCTATGGGTTCATTAGAAACACTGAAGGCAGCATCCGTTATTCCAGACTTATCCCTGCTCCACCAAACTCTGCTCCCTTGGCCTTTTTTACCTCATTTTTAAAATAAGGGAGCTTTGGAATGGAAGTAAGGTAGTGTTAGTTATTACTATTATTAGTGTTAGTTTTTTCAGGGATGGATGGCAAACACAGCAGTTCTGGCGCAAAAAAGCAAAAGCTGAGTGGGATGGCTGGAAAAGGGAGCTGGGAGGACAGGAAGCAGGTAACAGCTGCAGCCTGAAGCAGCTGTGTCCAGCTCCCACCAAACCTCCTCTGGATGTGACCCCACATGGGAAACACACAGGCTTGTGTGGTTATTCCACACTGGGGGTGTTCTGGCACCCCAGGGACCTTCCAGGTTGGGGTCCCTGGTTCTCCAGCACCGTGCATACCTCCACCCACCTATGAAATGGTTTTGTTCCCCAGAACCTTAGAGACTCCACCCCAAACCCTATGGGGGACAGCACCCCCACCCTACAAGGTCCCTGCTCCTTCAGCACCCCAAGGATCCCCCCCTAAAACCCTATGGCGTCCCTGTCTGCACCAGGGGACCCTCCCTGCTCCATGGTTCCTGTGCCCAAAACCCCAGGGACCCTACAAAACCCTGTAGGGTCCCTACATCTCCATCACCCTGGGGATAGCCCTCCCCTTCTGGTGTCCCCGTCTCCAGCACCCAATGGGGGGGGTCCCTGTCCCCAACACCCCAGAGATCCCCCCAAAACCCTATGGGATCGCTGCTTCTCCATCACCCTGGGGCACCCCTCACATCCTGCCCCTAGGGTCATAAGCTGCTGACCCCCACCCTATGGCAGGGCTCCCTGTCCTCCAACACCCCAGGAAGCCCCCAAAACCTATGGGGTCCCTGCACCTCTATCTACCTGGGGACAGCCCTCCCCCCTTGGTATCCCTGTTCCCAGCATTCTGGGAGGGGAGTGTGTCCCTGTCCCCAACACCTCAGGGTCCCCCCAAAAACCTATGGGGCCCCTGTCTGCAGCAGGGGACCTTCCCTGTGCCACCATCCCTGTCCTCAGCTCTTCAGGGACTCCCACTATGCTATGGGACAGGCTCTGACCCCAGGGACCCCCCAAAACAAAATGGGGACCAGGGTTGGCACCCTATGGGGTCCCGATCTGCAACAGGGGACCCTTCCTGTCCTATGATGTTGCTGTCCCCAACTCCCCAGAGACCCCACCCTATAGTGGGGGGATCCCTATTCCCCAGCACTGCAAGGACCCCCCAAAAACCTATGGGGTCCCTGTCTGCAGCAGGGGACCTTCCCTGCTCCACAATTCCTGTCCCCAGCTCCCCAGGGACCCCCACCCTATAGCGGGGGGGTCTCTCTCCCCCAGCACTCCAGGCATCCTCCCAACTCTACAGGATGCCCGTGTGCAGCAAGGGACCTACCCTGCTCCACAGTCCCTGCCCCAGCTCCCTAGGGACCCTCCAGGATATAGTGTCCCCCAGCACTCCAAATATCCCCCCAAAACTCTGCGGGGTCCCAGCAGGGAACCCTCCCCGCCCCGTGAGGTCGCTGTCCCCAAGTCCCCAGGGCCCCCCACCCTACGCGGGGGTCTGTGCTCCCCCGTCCCCGTTCCCATCCCCGTTCCCGTCCCCGTTCCCATTCCCATTCCCATCCCCGTCCCCGTTCCCATTCCCATCCCCGTCCCCGTTCCCGTTCTCATATCCGTTCCCGTTCCCATCTCCGTCCCCGTCCCCGTTCCCATCTCCGTCCCCGTCCCCGTTCCCGTTCCCATCCCCGTCCCCGTTCCCATCCCCATCCCCGTCCCCGTTCCCGTTCCCATCCCCGTTCCCATCCCCATCCCCGTCCCCGTTCCCAGCCGTGCCGTACCCGCTCCGCCGGTGCCGGATGTTCCCGCCCCGTCCGGCGCGGGGCTCTGAGGCGGCTCCATGGCGGAGGCGGGGCGCGGGCTCGGCAGGTTCGGCCCGGCGGGCCCCGGGCCCGGCCTGCCGTGCCCCTGGCCCTTGGCCCCGCTGCGCCGCCCGCCCTCCCGCCTCGCCGGGCTCGGCTGCCCTCAGCGCCCCGGCCCGGCCCGCGGGCTCGGCCCCTTCCCCCCGCCCCCCGCGCCGCCCGCGCTCGGGGCCGAGGCGGAGGACGAGGAGAGAGGTGGGTCCCGGAGCCCCCCGCGGAGCACGGACAGACCCCCTTCCCCCCGGGGCTGCAGGGGAGAGGGTTCAGATCACAGGCCTTCTGTTATAAACTAAACCAGTCCTTCTTTCCGCGGAGGGTGGGACAGGCCGCCCCAAGGAGCTGGTGGGTTCTCTCTGGAGACATTCCAGACCCACCTGTGTCACCGCTCCAGGTGACCCCTCCTGGGCAGGGGGGTTGGACTGGGTGGTCTCTACGGGCACTGAAAGAAAATGGAGCTGCACAGAGTTCGATTTCAGGACTTGTCTGCCCATCCTTTTCGGTGTTCCCCTTTTTATTCCTGTTCTCTCGTAAACAGCACCTGGTGGGTTTTTTTTAGTTAACCAGAATTTCCAGGATCGTCCTAAACCAGTGCCTCGATCCCACACATTCAGCTCACATCACATGGTGGTTGTGTCCAGCCACGAGAGAAAAACACACGCATATCATGCAGACCGTTCAGAGTGGTCTTCAGCTTTGAGAAACACAACATTCTCTCTTCCAAAGCACTTAGCCAAGGTCGATCCTCCCTTTCAATTCCGATTAGCTAAATGCAGGTGCGGAGTGACTCAGCTTGCTCCCACAGTCTCCAGAGGTCCCTTGCAGCCCTAGCAATTCTGCCGTTCCACTTGCATTATTCCATTTGCTGCCTCTCCCCAGTGCCGCTGGCAGAGCTCTCGCTGATGAACAAGCTGATCCACACATCCCTGGTGGAGTCTGACCAGCACGTGGAGATCCTGCAGCGGGACCCCAGCTCCCCGCTCTTCTCTGTCAAGACCTTCGAGGAGCTGCCCCTGTGAGTAGCCACAGCCCCCAGCCCCACCGAGTGTCAGCACCACTGGCCACCCTCACACGGACCCTTGGGATGCTTTGTTTCCACAGGAAGAGGGAGCTCTTGCGGGGGGTTTACATGATGGGCTTCAACAGACCATCCAAGATCCAGGAGCAGGCTCTGCCCCTCATGCTGGCATACCCGTGAGTAGGATTGCGAGCCCCGGCTCCGCACGGCATCCCCGTGCCCCGACCCCTGCGCTCCACTAAGCTGCCTTTGCCTTGCAGGCCCCAAAATCTGATTGCCCAGAGCCAGTCAGGGACAGGGAAAACAGCAGCTTTTGTCTTGGCCATGCTGAGCAGAGCCAATGCCAACGAGAAATACCCGCAGGTAACGCAGGACAGGGAGAGTTGATGCAGGAGGGGTTGGCCCAAGTGCCTGGGACACTGCTGGGGCCAGAGCTCCAGGCTTTGTCCCTGTCCCTATGTGACTTCACCCACTGGAGGGGGATGACAAACCCCCAGGGGCTGTTGCAGTGGCAGGTATGACTGAAAGCACAGTGTCTACCCAGGGAGACACTTTGACTTGCCAGAGTGGATCAATCCAGGCTTCATTTGTCCTGGAATTTAAATTTTGAGGAGCAGCTGTAGACACTGCTGGTTTTCTGGTGGCTCAAACGACCCCATTCCCCTCTCTGGGTGCTGAATCAGCTTTGCCTGCTGGTTCCTGCCGTGTAACATCTCCTCTCATGTGCATGGGGTGACTGAGCCAGGGCACAGGAACGAGCTGCACCGTGCTTCCAGAGTGGAATTTCCTCCTCAAAAACAGCGACACTGGCTTCTTTCTGCCCCCATGGCTGGAGCTGGGAACACAGCCCAGCTCCCAAACCTCCAGCCATGCCCGGCTGCCCGATCCCCTGTGCCTCAGTGCTGTGCAATGCTCCTGTGTTCCTCCTGCTGTCCCTGCCCTCCTTGTCAGCCCAACTTGTCCCACCCTGGGCCTGACAGCTCCCTCCTCTCCTCTCCCACCAGTGCCTCTGCCTGGCTCCCACCTACGAGCTGGCCCTGCAGATCGGGCAGGTGGTCCGGACCATCGGGAAGTTTTGCACTGACATCAAGGTGAACTACGCTGTCCGGGGAAACCGAAGTGAGTCCAGCCCAGCACAGCTACTGGCACTGCCCCGGGAGTGGGAAGGGAGCACGGGGATCCCCTCTTAGAGCCTGGAGCTACCAGGGACCACCCAGACTGCCATGAAGGCCACTTTATAGTGTCTGTGATCCCCTCTCCTGCTGAGGAGGCTTTTCCACCATTGCTGGCTGCTTCCAGACTCCCCAGAATAGGGCTGGTTCCCACCCCTGAGGCTGCAGGGAAGTGTCATGCTGACCCCTGGAAGGCATCACTGAGCACCCAGAGTCTGAGCGAGCTGAGGGGAGGCACGGAGCAGCAGAGAGCTCTGTGCCTGGGGGCAGCCAGGTGCCTTTTTCCCTCTCACAGTTCTGAAGGGCATGGTGCTGGAGGAGCAGATCATCATCGGGACACCGGGCACCACGCTGGACTGGTGCTTCAAGCAGCGCATCCTGGACCTGACGAAGATCTCCTTGTTTGTGCTGGATGAGGCCGACATCATGATCGACACGCAGGGCCTCTCCTGCCAGAGCATCCGCATCCACAGGTGAGTGTCCCTGATGGCTGGAGTCCCACTTCCCTGCTTTCCCCTCTCTTTCAGACATGGTGCTGAAGGGGCTTGTGAGGGGTCCAGCTTTCCCTAAAGCCACATCTACTGGACACATGGGAAGACTTTTACCTTCCTTACCTTTCCTTTGAGCTGTTGCAGCCTAGAGAATCATAGAATGATCTCTTTAAGGTCCATAGAATGGACCTTAAAGCCCATCTTGTTCCAACCACCCTGCCGTGGGCACAGATGTCTTCCACTAGACCAGGTTGCTTCAAGTCCCATCCAGCCTGGCCTTGGACACTTCCAGGGATGGGGCAGCCATAGCTTCTCTGGTCAACCTGTTCCAATGCCTCACTACCCTCACAGCAAAGAACTTCCTCCTCATATCCAATCTAAACCTCTTCACTTTCAGTGTGAAGCCATTCTCCCTTGTCCTGTCACTCCAGGCTCTCGTAAAGTCCCTCTCCATCTTTCTTGTAAGCCCCCCTGGCTTCCTTTTCCATCGAAGGCCACACAAAATGAGCATAAATTTGGGTGTGTGTCCTTCTCCTGGACAGCAGCCGCTCACTGGGACTGAGGAGGCCTTTTTCCTGCCACAGGGCTCTTCCCACGAGCTGCCAAGTGCTGCTGTTCTCGGCCACCTTCAAGGAACCCGTGCGGGCCTTTGCCGAGCGGATCATCCCCGACCCCATCGTGATCAAGCTGCGCGAGGAGGAGCTCACGCTGAGCAACATCAGGCAGTACTTCATGGTGTGCCAGAACTCGGAAGAGCAGTACAAGGCCCTCTGCAACCTCTACGGCAGCTTCACCATCGGCCAGGTCATGATCTTCTGCCAGGTAACGCCCCTGCCCGGGAGAGCCCCGTGCTGGCCGTCGGGGATGGCAGGAATGGGTCCTTCTATGGTGTGGACACGGGAGGACAGGACCCCCAAAACAAGAGCCTGGAGGGGGTTGAAATTCACTGGGAGCTCCCTCAAAAGGAGCAGGGGATGTTGGGGGGGGGACAGTTCTGGGCCTCAGCCTCTCCCCACGTGCCCAGACCCGGAGGCTCGCGGACTGGCTGTCGGAGAAGATGAGCCGGGACGGGCACCAAGTGGCCACGCTGACGGCAGAGCTGACGGTGGTGCAGCGGGCCAGCGTCATCCAGCGCTTCCGTGAAGGCAAGGAGAAGGTGCTCATCGCCACCAACGTCTGTGCCAGAGGTATCCTGGGAGACTCTGCGTCCCCCGAAACACGCCAGGCCTGTGGCTCTTCCGCCTGGATGCCATGGGACAAGGCGATCCCTTTCCACGGCCCCTTTCCCTTTCTCCCAGGGATCGACGTGCAGCAGGTCACCACTGTGGTGAACTTCGGCCTCCCCAGGGATGTGAAAGGAGAGCCAGACTTTGAGACCTACCTGCACCGGATCGGCAGGGCGGGACGCTTCGGGCACCGCGGCATCGCCTTCAGCATGGTGGAGAACGAGACCGTGGAGCTCGTGCACAAGATAGAGGAGCATTTCCGTGAGTATCCATGGGGATCCACTGCTCTGGGAGGCAGGACTGGGACTGTGATCCCCCTCGGCTCATCCTGCCCCTCAGACCTTGCGGGGCTGCTCCTCTCCCCAGAGCTCATCCCACTGGGAATGGGTGACAGATGCAGCTTTTAGGGTGGTTTTTTGCTTCCCAGCAGCCAAATTTTCCAAGAAACAGCCCTGGAGATTGTGTGAAACTCGCAAGGGACATTGCCAGCACTCAGGATGCCTCAGCACCTCCTTTTTTTCCCTCCTTCAGGCATTTTTTCTGCCTTTCCCTGCAAATCCTTGTCCCGGGGGACCTGGTGCCACGGTTCAACTCAGCCCTGGCTGTGGGACAGGAGCTGGTAGCTGGGGAAATCTTTCCTGAGTGGAAATAGATTGTCACTTGTTAACATCAAGAGGATTTTCGTGGGATTTGCCAGATGCTGTGGCTGCACCAATTGCTTTTTGAATCCCAGTGCCTGTTTTCCCTGTGATTTTTAGGGGGAAAAAAGGGTTATGGAAACCTTTTGGTGGGCAGAAAGTGCTGTTCCATCCTCAGTCTCAGCCTTGCCGCTGCTTAACCCTCTTGGTTCCTTTAAATTTCCACCTGTCCTTTAAATACCAAGCGAGCCCATGGCAGACACCAGGCAGGGAAGACACGAGCCAAATAGTCTGGCAGAGATTGTTCCCAAGCAGTAGAAGCAATGAGCAGCTGCAATAAGTGGGATGTGGATGAGCCTGACCACAAACATGGCCAGAATGAGCCGAAGGAGCCCAGTGTGAGGATGAAAATCCAACGGGATGAACTCCTGGCGATCTGACCTGTGCTTTTTCACGTCATGACGTTGGGATTCGAGGACACAAACCTTCCCTGTCCTGTGTGGCTGCAGAGGTGGGAGCAGGGAGTGGGAGCACATCCTCAGGCTGAGCCTGGTGTGATGCTGCTGCAGGGCTGCCTCACTCTTGCTGCCGTGCCTTGGCTGCTGCCCTGACCCTGTTCCCCTCGTGCTTCCTTCCGGCTCATTTCCCCACTGATCCCGTTCCCTCCACGCTTCCTCCCGGTGGATTTCCCTGTGGAGGGAGATGCTGATCTTCCCAGCTGGCACGGGGCATGCCGGTAGTGCAGACACCGGCTCGGGGGGACAAGCTCTGCTCTCACCTCCTGACAACTTCTTGTTCCTTCCTGCAGAGACCACAATCAAGCAGCTGGACCCGTACGACATGGATGAGCTCGAGAGGCTTGCAGCTGAGTGAGGAGTGGGGATTCACTCCCCCAAATCCAAGTTTTGGTTCATACCAGGAGGAAAAGTTTCAGGGGAAAACTTCCCGGTTCTCTTGTGTTCTGAAGCTGTTGAGTTTTGTTGTATTGCCTGAGGAGAGGCTGGAGCAGGCCTCATCCCGCTAGATGGCAGCAGGAATCCACCACTGCCGTCCCGAATCCCGGGCTGAAATCCCAGTGTTCGGGGTCCCAGCAGTGTGGAGAGAGTTGTTGGACCCTGGGGGCACAAAATCCAAGCATTTGGGGTCCCAGCAGTGTAGTGAGAGACGTTGGACCCTGGGAGCGGCCTGTCCCCGGTCCAGGGCTGTGTTTGTGCCTTTGTTAATCTTAAATAAATTGTTTATAATCCTCAGGGTGGCTCCTTCCTTAGCAAAATCCCCTGAAATTTATCACCCCTGGCAGGAGGGTTGTGTTGACAATGGTGGTGTTTAGCAGATCGTCCATTGCTCTGCACTCCCCTGTCCAAATTTCTTCCCAAGCCCAACCTGTAGGAGCACAACACAGACCAGAGCACTGCTGGAGGCACGTGGCAGCGGGAGGGGGAAGGGAGGGGGATCTGGCCCTGGCTCTGCAGGCCCCTCACCACCGGCTTTAACCTCTTTGGGGCATTTCAAGGCCCGAAACCTGTTTGGGGGAAATCTCGCGTTCAGTGTTAACAGTGTAATTGTGGTAACGAGCAATTAATTCTAGTTAAAGAATCAGGGAGGGATCAGAGATGGCGGGTCATTTTCCAGGCTTTCCCGGGTGTTGCCAGATCCCTCCCCCACGTGCACCCAGAAATCCCCCCTCCGGGGCGCTCCGGCCCCCCGGCATTGCGTTACGGCACGGCCGCCCCCATGAATGTTTGATGGGCCGGGGCTCAGCAGGGAGCGGGAGATGAAATATCAAACCCCACTCCTGGCCCAGCGTCCCTGGCTCCAAACCTCCCCACTTCGATCACGGTGGGGTAGCAGTGCATTTTCCCCCTCCTTTAGCCCCAAAAAATTGGGTAGGGAAAGGGAGCACTTGGGAATTTGACTCCACCACGTGGGGAAGGCAAGGATGCTGCCATTCCTGCCACGAGCACGCCCGTCCTCCGCCCTGAGATTGCAGGGGCCGAGGCAGCAGCGGCGGCGTCGGGTTCCCCCCTGCACCACCAGGTTGATAAATAATTGACCGTTAATCAGGGCCGGGCCTAATTACCCGGGAGTAACCGGAGAGGAGATGGGGCCGGAGAGCGCAGCCCTGCTTCAGGCGGTGCCGGTGCTGGACATGGCGCCATGGAGCGTGGCCGGGCAGTGCCGCCGCCTTGGAGGGGGCCCTGGATCCTGTGCCTGCTGCCGGCGCTGGCGGGGGGTGAGCAGGGACCCCTCCCCGCATTCCCAGGGTGGGGGGCGAGCAGGGGCCTGACCTGATGGACACGCTGCCCCGGGGCAGGGCAGCCGCTGGTGGCCGGCGAGGCGGCCTACGAGGAGTGGCAGGTGACGGGCGTGCGAGGCCGGGCGGTGCAGCTGAGCTGTGGGCTGGTGGCCGCGGCCCCGCCAGCCGTGGTGTTCTGGAGCTTCACGCCGCGGGGCGAGGGGCCGCCACGGGCCGTGGCCGTGGGCTCGGGCCGGGACGTGGTCGTGGCCCCCGGAACGGGGATGCTGGGCCGGGTGACGCTGCACAATGGGACGCTGGAGCTGCGGGAGCTGCGTGTGGCTGCCCAGGGCCGCTTCCTCTGCCAGGGGCTCTTCCCGGAGCGGGGCCGGCTCCGCGTGGGATACGCTGCCGTCCTCCTGCGTGTCCTGGGTAAGCCCCCACCGTGGCCACCCTGAGGGGCCCTGCTGGCCATCAGTGGCTGGCATCGTTCCCCCCTGCACCACGGTCAAGCACCCCTTGCCTGAGAGCCAACAGAGCTGTCCACTGGCCAGTGGAACACCCCACTAGCCAACAAAGGGCTCCACCAGTCAGTAAAGAGTGGCACTAGACAGCATAGTGCCTTGCTAGCCGGTGAAGGGCCCCCCTAGCCAATGGAGAGCCCCACTAGCCAACAAGGTGGTTCACTAGCAAGTGTAGCACGCCACTTGCCAACAAAGTACCCCACTAGTCAGCAGAGTACCCTGCTCGCCAACCTAGTCTGTCACTAGTCAGCAAAGCCCCCTACTAGCCAACATAGCACCCCACTAGCCAATATGGCATTCTACGAGCCAAGCTTGCTCAAAACCAGCCAACATAGCACCCACCAGCCAACAAAGAGCCCATTAGCCAACCTAAAGCCCCACTAGCCAGCCCAGCACACCACTAGCCAGTGAATAGTGAATCCCCCTTGCCCCCAGCCAGTGTAAGCCCCTACTGGCAAACGTAGCAGCTCACTAGCCACCTTCATTTCCTTGCCCTGGCCACCTCAGCATCCCACCACCCTTAACTGGTCTCAGCAGCCATTCCACCCAGTCCCCATGGCCACAATAGGGATGCCACTCACTAGCCCGTGGGTGTCCTCACTAACCATCCTGCTGTCTGCTACACCACCTCACCTGACCAATCATCTGGGCTGGGAGTGGGGGACGGGTGGGCCCGGGGTGGGGTCCTGCTGTCTGTGGGGGCCGCTCACAACTCAGTGCCCCCAGTGCCCGTCTCCAAGCCCTTCGTGCGGCCGACGGCGGCGGCGGCAGCGGAGGGGGCAGCAGTGACCCTGGCGTGCACTGTGCGGGAAGGGACAGAGCCGCTGAGCTTCTCCTGGCAGCACCAGCAGCCCCGGGGGGGTCCCTCAGTGTCCCCCGCGGGGCCGGGGGGCTCCGGGGCAGAGCTGCGCCTGACGCCCGCCAACCGCAGCCACACGGGCTGGTACCTCTGCACCGTCAGCAACGAGGTCAACAGCCACACCAGCGAGCCCGTCTACCTGGACATCGTCTGTGAGTGCCCCGGGCACCGCCCTCACGGGGGGCCTCAGCCACCAGCTGGGGGGGCATCTTCGGGGCTGGAGATGCCAACGTGGCACCTCCAACGTGGCATGTCCCCTCTGTGGGGACAACCCCGTGGCTAAAGGACCCCTGTGTGCCCGCAGACGGCCCCGACGAGCCGGCCATCAGTGTGGAGCCCTTCTCCCCCGAACAGGGGGGCTTCTCGGCGGGCGAGCGGGAGGACGTGGTGCTGAGCTGCCTGGCTCCCTCCAACCCCCCCAGCCGCTACGTCTGGCTGCACAACGGTACCCAGGTGCACGTCGGCCAGACCTACATCATCGCCGCCATCGCCCGCGCCCAGGCGGGCACCTACACCTGCCTGGCCGAGAACACCCACCTGCAGACCCGCACCCAGGCCACCATCGTCCTCACCGTGTATTGTAAGTAACGCCGCGGGGCCCCCTGGGTGAGAAGGACCAGCGCAGCTCCCTGGTGAGGATGTGGGCGAGAGGGGCAGTTTGAGGGGGTTGGGGGGGAGCCCCCAGCCTCCCCCAGCGCTGATGGTCTCCTGCAGATCCACCAGCCGGGAGCCCCAGCTGCTCTGCCGTGGCCACCAGTGACCTGCAGGACGTGGCCCTGCGGTGCCGCTGGCTCGGGGGCTTCCCCCTGGCCCAGCTGCGCTGGGTGGGCTCCCTTGAGGAGGAGAAGGAGGAGGAGGAAGAGGGGGTGATGGGGACCAGTTTTTCCATGGCCACCAGGATCCAGCCAGGGGCAGCCACAAGGAACAGCAGCTCCTTCTCCTGCCTGGCTTCCCACCCCGCGCTGCCGCAAGGGGCTGCATGTGGGACCACCCTGTGTGAGTGACAATGGGTCCATTTGCCCCCCCAAGCCCCTTCCTGACCCCCCGTGTCACCCCAGAGCCGCGGTGACCCCCGTGCCACGGCCACACCACAGGAAGGGCACCCCAGGGTGCTCCTGGGACATCCGGCACCCCCAGCTTGCTCCAAAATGGGGATCCCCACGGTGCAAAGCCGTGCAAAAGCCCCCATGTCCTTGGCGGGGGGAGATGCTATCTGCTTTTTCGGGGTGCTTTGGCACAGCGCGGCAGTGCCCCGCCCCGACACCGCTCCATCCCGCAGGGGTCCCGTCGGGCAGCCCCACCTGCGCGGCAGCGGCCACCAAGGGTGACGAGTACGTGATGCTGCAGTGCCGGTGGGAGGGGGGCACGCCACCCGTCACCCTGCACTGGCGGGACGGTGGCGGCCGGGCCTTGGGGGACCCCACACCCTCCACCGCCGTCCTGGTGCTGAGCACCGAGGGCAGCCTGGGGGGCCAGGAGTTCGTCTGCGCTGCCGCCCACCCGCTGCGGGGCCCCGCCGAGTGCCACCTGCGCCTGGGTAAGCCCGCCCCGCGCCCGGTGCTCCCACCGTGCCACCGGGCCGTGTTGGGGTGGCACGTCCCTGCCCGCACTGTCCCCCTTCTCGCCGAGCAGAGGTCCCCGATCTGGAGGCGGCGAGCGAGGTGGCGGTGCTGGAGGGCGGCGAGGCGCTGCTGACCTGCCGGCAGCGCGGCACCAGCGCCAGGCTCAGCGCCACCGTGGCTTGGTACGACCCCAAGGAGCGGGAGGTGACGCCGGGGCTGGCCAAGTATCGGCTGGAGCAGGGAGAAGCGTGGCTCAACCTCACTGTCCTGGACGCCGAGTGGCCGGGGGACGGCGGGATCTACCGCTGCGCCGCGACCAACGCCGTGGGCACCGCCAGCCTCCCCGTCCGCCTCCGCGTGGACCGTGAGTCCTGGCAGGGCTAGGGGTGGGTCCCCTAAGGCGGGCTGGGGGCATCAACCCCCTCCTGCCGGGTTCCATCTCTCCGCAGGGTACCCGACCCCCCCCAACGTCACCATCAGCAAGCTGCGCTACACGCGGGCGCGCACCGAGGTGCAGCTGGAGTGGCGCACTCAGGGCACCGGCAACCTCACCGGCTTCGTGGTGCAGCGGCGTCAAACCAAGAAACCCCTCCGAGAGGCGCCCAGCCCCTGGGAAACGGCTGCTGGCAACATCGAGCCCCACTCCCGCGACCGGCGCCTGGGGGGGCTGGACCCCGCGGTGCTCTATGCGTTCCGCGTCCTGGCCGTCAACCACCGCACGGCCGGGCACCCCTCCGAGGTGCAGACGCCAGGTGAAGTGGGCAGGGGCTGCTGTTCCATGGGGGCAGAGCAGGGTTTGAGTGGAGAAGGGCAACGTTTCCATCCCGGTGGAGCTGAGGAGCTGAGTGTGAGCAGCCGTCAGTAGGTTTTCAGAGCGAACAGGCGCAGGCTCTCACGGTCCATGGCGTTTCTGGGCTCTGCCCGTCCCTGCTGCCTGCCATACTCCCTCTGCTCTCTTCCAGCTGAGCCTCCCTTCGAGGCCTACCCGGCGGTGACGGGGGCGGCGGTGGCCGGGATGCTGGTGGCCACCGCAGCGTCGCTCCTGGCCGTGCGCTGCATCGCCCGCCAC